CGGCTGTGGCAACAAATTCGAGCGTACGAAGAAGTTACGGGCAGTTAAGAAACCTCACTTCATGGGACGACGTAAGAGAACTGAGACGGCTACACGACTATATACACACACACGCAAGGATAAAAATCCGTCAGCACGCGTGTAGCATGCTTCAGTGATGAGCGAAATAATGATCAAGGCACGGCTGCGAAACCTGAACTTGAAATATACTTTCAGAATCAAATTAATTGTGACTTCAGTTTTCAGTGCCCGTGCAAGAGATTGCAGACAAAGATAATATCGTGCCTCGTATAACAGAAGACGTGTATGGTAATGTGAAAGTTAAGCAATCCGTTTTTTTTAATAACACGTTTACAAGCAAACTTTTTTTTTTCTTTTTACCGGCGTTGCGCGAAAGCAGTTTGACGAATAAATGAAAGCATTTACGAATAAATTATATGTTCGTGACACATACTTTGCCACACTTTCGCTTTTATTACTGGCCGACCTAAAATGTAGCCCCCGCCCCCCCCCCCCCCCTTTCCTTTCCCCAAGCAAAAAATAAAAAAAACAATGAGAAAGAAAAAGGTTATACACTCTGTTTCTAAAAGGGGCGTGTTCACAAAGACAGATCTGAAAATCATCTGAAGAGTATAGCCCTCTGTTAGGAGGTAGGATGGGCAAAAACATCGTGGAAACAGGATCGCGAAAGCGACGCCGATATTTAGCGAGGTCTGTAACCTACACTGAAGCGATCTCTCCAGCTCCTGCTTTATCGGTCGGCGGAATTCCGAGATGGATCGGAGGACCGTCCAGCCTCCCTGCTCTTCGCGCCCCGAGTACACGACGTGCGTTTCGCAACAACCGCACCGGCCGAGCAGTTGCGAAAGATCTCGGAGGCCCTCTCGATCCCATCGTCGCACTGACGAGATCCGGGACCTTGAAATTTAAAAGGGGAATATACTCTTGATTCCCCTTCCCGGCCTTAGCTTCCCTCCCCCTTTTCCTTGCATCTATAAAGGCGCGGAAGATGTGCTAAATAAGCGAACAACAAGTCGAGGTCCTGATATGTCTAGTCTTTGAAGACCTCCCTGCCGTCTCCTCGCCGTCCAGTTGTGCAGTGGTTCCAGATCGGACGATGGTCAGAGCCGCGATGCTGCGCGCCGGCCTACTCTTCGCCTGTTGCGTCCTCTTATTGATACCACGTGTGTCATCGTCGTCTTCTGTCAGGAGTAAGCGTGATGAGAGACGTGTGTCCCGGGGAGCTGTGGACAGTCCGGCAAAGGAAGTGCTCATCACGACGACGGAGGCGACCATGGACGATGGTCTGGACATTCGTGTCCTCCTGAAAGACATCTTGAAAGACGTGTCCCGGAAGGTATTGCCTTACGTTCAGGATCTCGCATACGACCAGAATCTGCCGATCCAGTGCATCTCTAGCTTTTTAAAGGTGGCAGCAGGACTGCAAGGAAACAAGCTGTGGGCCATGAAGTGTGAGTTTACCAAATAATGATTATATTATTCAGTGAGAAAGCGGCGCGTTTTTTCTAATATTGTTTATATGTTCATTGTTCAATTACTCCCCGAACTGACTGTCGACCTGCGCAAATATGAAGCACTGGAAAAGCGTTTCTCTTGTGGCCCATTGGGAATCTTCATGAGTACCGAGGTACCGGCCGAATCAACTGCTTTCCAACCATTATGCAAACAGTTGCATCGTTGATTCGTGGTTTAGCTAAAGCTCGAGCTTAGTCCTTGCAGTCCCTCATGAACAAGAAGAGAAAAAATACGTACAGTCAAAATGTCGATATTCTCTCGTCGTGATGGTTACATGTGGGGCCACCACTATGTCAATGCTTTCTAGGAAGAGTATTACTCGTGTGTCATCAGGATACGCAAAAGCGCGAAGGCTCGCAAGGACCTACAGTCGGTGACAGGTAAAGACTGCAGTAGAAGCTCCGCCTTCAGCACGCGCCCCTTGCCTTCCGCCGTGCTTTGGTCGCGTGTGCGACGAAGAATTATCAAAGGCAGAAAGCTCACGCATGAGGTCGAGCACCTACGGGGCTCTTAACCTGTCACCGACTGTAAGCGTTTACAGGTGAATAATAATCTTGTTAGTAAAAAAATTAAAGACGTTTACAACTCTCTGTAATGCCGAAGTGGAGCGCAGCTCTTGAGAAGGAGGAGGGAAGGGTACGGAGGAGAGGGTATACCCCTTCTGCTCCCTTCCCATTTATCAAAAAATTTCGCAAAATTTCCCGCTAAATTTAGCGGGGAAATTTTCCCGCTAAATTGACGAGCGACGTCACGTGTCATCTGTGACATCACACGTCAACGTCACGTGACGTCACGTGACACGGGACTAGAAAATTTCCGTGTGACGTCATTATGGGAAACGTCCCGCTAAATTTAACGGAAAAATTTCCCGACAATTTTAGGGGGTAAACTTTACCCTCGTGACGTCACACGTGACGTCACGTATGACGTCATTATGGGAAACGTTTTGCCGATCAACCCGGAAACGTGCGCCTAAGAGCTGCGCTCTAAGGAGACTGAATATGCTTTTCATTTTTAAAAACGCGGGCGTACCAAGGTACGAAGCTTGATATCTGAACCCGAGGAATGTGTGCACAGGAAAAGTAGCAAACCCTATTTATGTTTTGTTTCTAAATTTACTCTATGTTTATGTTTAGTTTCCTTTCTTCCTTCCGTCATAGTTTCCCCGCTAAATTCAGCGGGAAAGTTTTCGCTAAATTTCTCGCAAAATTTAGCGAGAAATTTCGCTAAATGGGAGGAGAGGAGGAGGGGAGGGTACGGAGGGTGAGGAGGGGCATACCCTCCCGTTCACACCCTCCTTTACTCCTCCTCAAGAGCTGCGCTGTAATTCGGCATTACAAATAATTGTAAACGTCTTTCATCGTTTGTGTGTGTGTGTGCGTGTGCGTGCGTGCGTGCGTGCGTGCGTGCGTGCGTGCGTGCGTGCGTGCGTGCGTGCGTGTGTGTGGGTGTGTCTTGAAGCTAGGAAAAACACTCGCATAAGATATTTAGCGTAAAGTGTTTTTCGCTAGATTGTTTCACGCTTTTAATTATTTTATTCTTTTGAAGATTCACATATTACTTCCATAGTCTTGAACACTGACAAGTGAAAATGGGCACTCTGCTGTGGATTGTACTTTTCTTTTCTTCAGATGACCATACAAAGCTGATTCCCGAAAATTGGGAAGTAGCTGTTGACAAAAGCGGTTAGGCTTGTTCGCCGTGATATCTTTTGTTTGATTCTATTTTGGGAGATTTTGATAACAGTGGCCGGTAATGATTCGCCGTTTGGTACGAAGTATACAGCTTCAAAAGATAGGACTGTTCGCATAATATATAAATAAATCATTTTTAGTCGATAGAGAGTTTGAGAATAGGGGACCCCAACGTTAGGGGATCCCTAAGAAATAGGGGCCCAGCACTGCGCATGCGCCGAACCAAAACCATGCCTTCGGTTATCGTTCGCCCCCAACGCATAGCTCGAGAGGCCCCTAAGGCAAACAGAAATGGCGGCGCCCTGCATCGCTCGCTTCAAAACCAAACCACAATGGTCGCTACACTGTTAGGCACGTTGATCGGCAATGAATGGTGTAGCGGGCTTTTGCTTTGCCTCACCTCGCTTAAATCACCAAGTATGTGCGATGACCTCGCCCCGTTTCCTAGATCATCTTTAGATTCTGGCCGGTCTTTAGCCTGACAGAACGCGGTAATTGTTAACGTGACAGCGCCGCGCGAATCCTCGTGGCATGTCTTGCCTCGATCTCGATCTCGATCTCGCACACCAACGAATAGACAGCAGGAAAAGAACACATAGGGCACGCATAAGTGCTGATTCGCAACCGGCTCGAAAGCTCAATAGCAAAAAAAAAAAAAAAAACTTGACTCTAGCCACGGCCACGGCTCGTACAGCGGGTGTAATGTGTTGTATCTAGTGACATGGCGGAAGCTGCGTCGGACCTCTGCATCGGACAGACTGGACGGTGTGTTAATGACTGCCTTCGAAAACGTCACCACTTTTTACAAGACACTGGGAAGGCGAAAGGGGGGGGGGGGGGGGGGGGGGAATCATTTTTCTGTGCATTGCCGACACCTCATAATTACTGCAAAGCTGAACCAAACCTGAAAAAGCGGAACAAGGATTGAGCTAGGAGGAAAAGGTAGAAAAAGGCTTTTGTAAAAATAAAACGGCGAAAGCGCATATATTTGTTTGAATCGTATTGATTTCGTGTTGACTTCAAACATTAAATTATTTGTAAGACACGGGTAGGTTTGTTTTTACCTTATTCAATATGTGAAGCCCCCAAACGTTGTGTCCCCCTATTATAAAACTCCCTACTAAATGCAAAAGAAATTTGGTTGTGGATAGTTCAAATTGAGAATTATCACATAAAAAACAATTATACCAAGCTAACAAGGTTAGTTACCAATGCCTTTAAATATATATATATATATATATATATATATATATATATATATATGTATATTTCATTCTTGCACATTTGCTTCTGCCGGACTCCAAGCTACGGGCATTCGGTTCTTGCGCACCCGACATCGTCATGCGGCAGGAGCCCGTGGACGTTTCGTCAGCTGCGGCCGTAGTTCTGCTGTCTTTTATGCAGCATAATAAATCTACGCACCGACCAATTTTTTTTTTTTTTTTTTCACTATCGATAGTTCTAGACTTGTCTTCCGCTATCGATTGTATGGATAGCTTTGCGCCACTAATCGAGTGTCACTGAAGAAGAGGAAGTAGAGAGAAAGACCTTCATTTCTACAAAATGATCGGCTTGACGCGTCAGATAGTGTAGATGTCAGATACATGCGGCAGAACAGACGCTACACTATGATCACAAGGTCACTTACACTAGACGCACCAATATTAAAAGGGTCGGCACAATACGTGCACGATGACTTCTACTATGCTTTCTTTCTTTCCTTCTTTTTTTTTTTTTTTTCAGTCCTGGACTCTGCGGGACGACCTCCAGCGGGCATGCTCGAGGGCTCCACAGGAGCCCTCGGAGCCTACGACGAGTGCGTTGGCATCTCGGTGCCAACGTCCGACGGCACAAAAGAGGACTTTCGTGGTCAGTACTGCACCCTGTTCCTGAAACCAGCTCTCACTGACGAGAGGCTGAAAGGGATAGCGAAAGCCGTCACAGGGAGCCCTCTACTCCAAGTAAGGGTGACCTTTTTTCTTTTTTTTTCTATAGAGAGTTTAAGAATCGAGGGCCCCAACGCTTTGGGTACTCCAATTAAGCAGCTTGGGGCGACGCATTGCGCAAGCGCAGAAGTTCTGCACATGCGTAGTGCGGCACCCCAAGCCGTTTGGAGGACCCAAAGGGTGGGGGCCCCCATTATTATGAAACGTACAAATAATTATGGGGTTTGTTTGTCTATAGACAGCGGGAAGTCAGTCCCAATGGGCGTCTGGTGTCTTTGCCGTAGATGAGAAATTTAGACAGCATATACAGTACCACTGCTAGCTTGGGGTCTTGAACGTGCATCACGCAGGGATACACGACTGCGCGCCGGTATACGAAGCTGGTCCAGATCGAAGCGGGCAGGGTTGGGGATCGTAGCCAAGATCCCTAGGTTCTGCAGGGCGAGCTTTCGCTCCACCCTCTCCGAACTGTGGTGCGTAACAAACTTGGCGAACTCGGCCACTGATCCAACCCGTTTCTGACTTTTGCATAGATCTGTATTTGGCAAGACTGCAGGAGGGAGTGAATTTTGAAGCGTCGATACATGCGCTATATGATTACACAGAGAATGCGAAGAGCATCCGTCAGAGAGCGAAGGAATACCAGGCAAAAATGCCGCCTAAGAAAGAGCTAACACAGCTAGTTGGACAGTTTCGCCGAGGTCACAGAGGGAAAGCATACCACGAGTAGACTTAGTAGACAACCTCGCCGAGGAGCTTGCGGCTTCTTCGAGACGTGTGTCAGTTCTTGAAGATGCCGGAAAGCTGCCGATTAAATTCCCTGATGTTGTCTTTTCCTGATTTTTACGTATAGAATTATATCAGCGACCATTTTCATCGTTTTTTTCTGGTCTCTGAAGAGAAATCTGTGTAAATATGAAGATGAATGAACCGCGCTGATCGAACCTCTATCCCAATTCGATACGGTTCATTCGTCTGCATACATAGACTAAGGACTCGGGATTCATCAAACACAGAAGTTGGAGCCAAAAGGTCGCGGAACGGTGCCGATTGGACTTCGGCGACAAAAGCGCTGTGTCATCGTTGCCAGACTCCAATCGACGTTTTCTGTACACTTATAGCCCCCGATTTTGTATTTGACGAGTCTATATATTTCATTTCACCTGAGGTCCAGACGCAGCTCACGCTATAAGAGTTGATGGGACCAATCAGAGAGCGTCACAAGCGCACCATCATGGCGTTCGTCATGTTTCTGCACGCGTTCTATCATCGCTGAACCAATCATAAACAAAAAGGTCCAGTGACTTGCGCTTTTGATGCTATTTGATTGGTCGCTTGCGTCTGGACTTAAGCTGAAACGAAGTATATATATATATATATATATATATATATATATATATATATATATATATATATATATATATACACGAACTCATCTCTGTTACGTCATGGCGCGGTGGTGGCGTGTCGGTCGCACTTCCGGTCTGGGGCTGTGGGCAGAAGTCCCCATGCCAGACGTGTATTCCTGCGTTGTTTTGAAAGGAACTAGACAAAAACCTGCCTTCTCGTCCAAAACACCGGAACTGGGGCCGTACCAAAAGTGTGGAGAAAAGTTTGAAGATCAGTTTTAACGTGCTCGGTTCGTCCGAGAATCTGGATATGTGCTGTGAAAAGGGAAAAGCAGACGCCGTCGGACTACGATTGCTAAGACGGGAAGCACTTTGGATTGAATTCACGGATGCTTGTGGTCATCAGATTCATTTGTTTTCTTCCAACATGAACACCAGAAAACCAACAAGTTGTGCGAACCACGTGCGGACTACGTTCAGTGTGTCTTCAATCTCAAACGGCGGCCGGATCGTTCGAACTGTCGTCTGCTCTTTCAAACGTTTCTGCTTGTCGTCTGCTCTCTTAGACGACGCCGGCCCGTAGACCAAATGTTGGCCCGGTACTTGCGATAAGAAGTAAGTGCCGGCCTCAAAAGACTAAAGTTTGAAGGTTGGTAAGCAGGCTGGATGTAAACAGTAGATACAAGGAGATGTTGATCATTGTTACCAGTGGCCATCACCGACTTATTATGCCTAATTCACTTGGTCCGATTCTGCTTGCGATTTTCAGTATCAACGTCGACCATCTCAGCTACGGTTCACGCTTTTGCAGCCCGAGCGCCGTCGCGACTGAAAATTGCGAACGAAATCTCATCATGCGAATCGGGCTGTAGCGTCCACGCGGAATGAATCGCCACATGTCACATTATTCACGCGATGTTTTGCGGTGTAACTAGCCTCGGTAATTTAGGTGACGCCGCTCAAGTAGTCAGACATCGCCAAGAAGACGTAGAATCAACTATTCGAACGCAAAAAAGGGCAGGGGGACTCACGCGGACGCCGACAACATCGCGTTCCAACGGTTTGTTTATGGGCGACGGCGAGCTTTTTGCCCACACCCCCATCGCGCATGCGCGGCGCCGGTGGCGTCCGCTAGGGGCGCTACGGTTTGTTTGTAAACATGAGTTGGTGTATATATATATATATATATATATGATAGCATTTTAAAGGAAAGTGCACCTTTCCAGCGCTTATCACACAGACGAAATATGCCGAATCACTTGTCTGTGGACGTATGTGCAGTGTCTGATATTTCGCAGAAGAGTGCGACTGCGCATGCTCAGCGCACTTTACGCGATTGATTGGATTAGAAGGCAACACCCACAAAAAATAGTGACGAGCGCAGTGACGTTGCTCTTTCGACGCTGTTTGATTGACTTGTCGGCTATATTATACTGTGTTTCACCTTATGATGTACGGCAGGAAAGACTACAAGCGCGAGCTCCTTGTTCTAGGGCACATCTCGGCGGCACAAGCTCTCGTGCTTTAAAAGCAGCTCTCAACGCTATGAGCTCGCGCTCCTAGCCTTGTCTGCGGTACAACATAAAGTGAAACGAAGTATATAGCATTGGCCGCGCACAGGTCTTATCGTATGGAATGACTTGCACGTTCCACGATGTCAGTTGTTCCGCCATTCTGCAGTGGTTCCGACCCTCTAATAATCGGCACGTGACTTTCAGAAGGGGTCTATTGAAGGGGTGTATAAAGGAAACAGGATAATTATCTGTTTTGCCATGATTTTTAACGCAGACTTCTTCCTATTAGAGTTTCTATGGTGCTCTTCAACGGTGGAAACGTCCGTGAGAAAGATGTTTCTGAACTTTTATTTTTGCTGGTGCTCTGTTTCTCAGCCAAGAGTGCGGAACCTGACGGAATTCAGCAAGTTTTACTCCCACACCCTGGTAATGGGCTTGCGGATCGGCGTCTGCCTTCCATCCAAGTGTTCGGGAGAGGACCTCAAGTACATCGTGGACAAGTGTAAGGTTATCCTGCGTCTGCGTAGCTCGCCCATTATTCATATTTATTGTATTCATTTCCGCGCATTTTTTTAAATGTTCCTGGTTGAGGCAAGCTTGCTTATAGTTCGATCATATACCATTTAAACTTCTCTTAAACTGCCTAAAAAATTGAGGAGAAAAAAAATAATATGGGAAAAAATAGAGAAAGAGAGAGAGAAATTAAGTGCACATTTAGTGTCATCTGATATCAAACGAGAAAAATATATAACGCATTTCATTCTTGTAGTTCTCTTCCTTTGATTTTGCTGCGTCATATCTAATATTCAATCAATGAGTACAATCAACGAAATTAAAATTAAGCACATAGTCTTGTGGGGTGGGTTATAATGTATGTGCGTTGTCAAGGGTCTATTCCAAAACAAATTCTCGCCTTAACTAAAAGATGTTAATCTTGTTTCTTGTCTCCGCCGCGATGTTCGCTGCAGTTCTGAAGAAGCTCGACGTGGCAACCAGGGTGACGGCGTGCTCTGTCAAGAGGCCTGTTTCTTTTTCCAAGGTTCAGCTGGCAATGATGTGAGCTGTAGGAGAAATTTCTTTCTTATTAGACCATAGAAGTCTCTCATACTGTTTTATCAGCCTTGGACCTTCTTATGTGGTTCCTGTTTAACTTCTTGTGCATATAAACGGTCTTCCGTTGGTTACACTATTTTACGCGACACTATCGACAAATCAAATTAATGCAAGCTGTAGAGGAGAAACGAGTATATGCTATTACTGTTTTAGTTTTCTTATACTGCTTATCAATTAAGACCTTGCGAACTATGGCACCAGCAGTGCGCCGAAATACGTTATATTTATATATCGCCGACACTGCGATGATTCATCGACAAATTGTTTCATTTAAACGAGACCGCCCCTTCACTTCATCGACACACCTTGGGACGTTCCGTTGACAGGTGTTTTTTCGTGAGATTTCGTCATTGATGCGGCAGTGCGCTTTCGTTTTGTTAGGTTATGTTAGGTTGCCTTACGTTACGCTATGCTGCGTGACATTACGTTAGTTTAGGTTTTGGCCAACGTTGTGAGCAACTTCGGGGTCCGAATTCTAGATAGTGCAGCGAAGTCTGTAATCTAATCCAAGCCGTGTAGCGAAAATAGTTTTTCGATGAAACGTCGCAAGAACGTTTACGAAACGTGTTTCCATCAAACATCACAGCGTTGACAAAACGCGTGTTTAATAAAAAAAACGTGTGTCAGTGAAAACGTGTGTCGCTGACAGGTGCGTTGATGAAACGTGTGTCGATGACAAGTTGTCGACGAAACGTGCGTAGACAAAACAAGAATGAACATTAACCTTGAGCGACATGTAACGCAAGCACTCCTCGCAAATAGGATGTAAAGCATATACCTTGGAAACATGTTTGCACGTTCATGAGCGTCACCTGCAGCTGCCCATAAAAGAGCGGGTAGTCGTCACTGCGCGCAGGGACGACTACCGGCGGCGCACCCGCTTCAGCAACTCGAGGAATATTCCGCGGAATATTCCTCGAGTTGCTGAAGCGGGTGCGCCGCCGCGTTTGTGGTGAGAGGATAGAGTTAAAATAGTCTAATATCCCGACTTGGAGTTTCCAGAGTTGAAATCCAAATGCACATCTCCTTCTGCGAGATTTATTCGAAGTCGGCGGTCGCGCCGTTCACCTCACAGATGTCTGCTGAGTTTCCTCGGCTTGCACTTGGCCCTGTCAACGAGCGTCGACCTGTACCTGAGATATCGGGGCCCCGCAGACGCCGAGGGCCAGGAGAGACGTCGTGAGTAAACCTAAAGCCAGAGTCACATCGCTCGTACATAACACAAATATATACACGGTGCTCACTCCAGACATGACGACAGATGACAGCAGTGCAGACATGATGGCAGCAGTGCTCGCTTCATACATGCTTCAAACGTGTTTGCAGGCGGTGTTTTTATGACCAATGTCACGGGACAGTCATATACAAGAAAGAAGCACGTTTCAGACAGTGTTATCAGACTCTCTTTTGTTACGATGTATTAACAGTGGTACCGTTGATTACCCGCTTAGTTGATTAGTTATACGTTACTGAGCTCCAAGGCATGCAGAAGAACCTGCGACTGCCCGTGGAACACTTCTGACCAATTAATTTATTTAAAACAAAGAGCGTACGATTAATGCATTCATCGAGCAATCGGTGAGTCGATCGGCCAATTTCACAGCCGTATTTATAATTATGATATCGCTGCATCATTTACTGTAAACGACTTATCTTTCGCGTGCTCAATATTTCGCGTTTTAGGTCAAAGCTGCAGTTTTGAAATAACTCGCGGGTTCAAATTTTCTCGATGCGGTAGGTTCTCAATATAGATTCCAAGGTGTTTACATTTTACCGGAATTGTTCGCGGGACCTATTTTTCGCGAACTGTGGGCCGTTCGCGAAATTCGAGAAAATTTGGTCCTCGCGAAAATTAAGTCGTGTACAGTATAAGACGGACTGATGTATACAAGTGTGTTGTGTAGTTTAAGATCCTAGACCACCCTTTTGAATTTCGCATTCTCCTTCGCCAAATTACGTGTAAAAAATGTCCCTCCAAAAATATTTTCTCTTTTTTTTTTTTTTTGGGCCGCAAAAATAAATTATTTTGCGCCGAACGTTCATTTTCCGCCCAAAGCTAGCGGTTCAAACCGGATGCCAATGTTTCTAAACTAACCGTTATCTTTATGAAAAGTTATAAATAATTTACTGGAACTTTCATTGGGAAAATGATGGCCGATGAAACGCTCGAATATATGGAGCTGAATGGCTCCAGTTAACAAAAACGGGCCCCATTTTCCCATGAAAGCTAAAAAGAAAAAAATCGTGTTAACGTTTGGATGAGATAACGGTAATTTCTGGAACTTTTTCGACTGGTTCGGACCGATGGCGCTACATTTGGGTGAATGCTCAGTGTTCGGCAATATGTCGTCTAATTTGGCAATAAACAAAAAAAAATTACAGGAGTAAACTTAAGAGTGCTTACGGTGTAGGAGAGCGAAAACATTGTCCCGCTGGAGAAATGTTTTCGAGTAATGTTTCTACACGTATTAAAGTTTAGGACGACGTAGAGGACGACGTCGAGAACGACGAGGGCGACGTCTAGGACGACGGCAAGAACGGCGATCAGGACGACTTCTAGGATGACCTCAAGGGCGACGTCGAGAACGACGCAAAAAGGCTGTGGCGTATTTGCGTGGGCGGCCACGTTTGCCTGCGGTAGTTGCCGCAGATGTAGACGCTGCTGCCGATGTCGAGGCCGTAGACGTAGACGCGGTCGTCTCACAGTCCATCGCACGAAGCACACAACGAGCACAGATGAGGTCCGAAGCGCACCTTTTGCACACGGCGCTCCGGTGGTGACATCACGCTGATGACGTATGATGACGCTTGATGACGTATTTTTATGGCCATATTTCGGGCACAACGACGACGCTTTTTACGTAATGTGACGAGTGAGATCGTCCTCGACTTATAGGACGACCGCGACGGCGATACCAAGGTAATAAGACAAATAGGGTCACCCATTGAGCGGCGCGTGCCGCTCAATCGTATTTTTATCGGCTTTTTCGACACCTTTTCGCTCAATGGGACAAGCAAGGCTTTCGCCTTAGAAAACAGAACAAAAAACATTTTTGAGGAAGTCATGCTCTATAATTAGGGTTCTGCGTTTTCGGTTTCTATTTTTTCAAAATTCGGGGTACTTTTTTCGGTGTTTATTTTAAAATTCAATTTTCGGTTTTTTTCGGCGTATATTTATGCCCGCAAAAGTTTATTGTCTTTTTTCGGTGAATATAAAATAAACACCAACGGACACCGGATCAGATGATCCTTGTACGTAGCTCTGATATTTGTGATCACTCAAAAAATAACGGAACAGGTACGTTGAAAAAGAAATGGACACTTCATTTGGCAAATGTGTGCAACTGTAGAAGAAACAAGAAAAAAACGCAGAAGTACAAACAAGTCAGATATGAAGCCTATGCCCCAAAAACATGCAACCTCACCTTCTGTACATCAGGAATACGTGATCTCATTATAGTACACACAAACATGTACTTCCCCAGGTTCTCCTTCTTGATCCACGCTATTTCTTTCCTGTTAATATATGACCCTGAGCTTCGAGAACGCCCTCTCAACGCTAGCACTGGACGCTGGCAGGCTGAGGAGATGACGCGCTGCCTGAGCCAAATTCGCCGAAAGAGACACGGTGCGACGTTTTGAAGCACAATACAACATGCAGAGCTTGCATCTAGTCAGTCTTCCTCAAAACGAGTTTGAAAACACGCTCGCCACGGCTCTGCGGTACGACTGGACGATCAAAGTGACATTTTCCGGTTAAAACTGAATTTAAAAAAATGGATTCGACGAAATTTTATCGGTTTTTATCGGTTTAAATCGAAACTGCCGAACCTAAAAACTGACCTTTTCCGGCTAAAACCGAATTTCCAAAAATGAATTCGGCGTACTTTTATCGGTTTTTATCGGTTTAAACCGAAAACTCCGAACCCTATCTATAATGTTAACCACGCGACGAGTATCTCGAGTGAAGGTAAACCAATAAGCTAATTCCACGATTGCGTTGCTTATCTATCAGGAAACCGTTTCTTTCTTGCTTTTTATTTTTATTTTATTTTTTAGTTTTTAGTTTTGCCAGAGGAAATGGAGTAAAGTAGTTCCTAGTTTACATACAATGTTTTCTTTCCCGTTTCAGCGTTTGTTTTGCGGCTGCTGCTGGCGTTCTCTGTGATCCGAAACACGGAGATCCTCTTGAAGAAAGCCTCCGACAAGAACAGCGACGCTTACCAGCTCCGCTGCATCCACGGTATGCGAGTCATCAGCTACCTCTGGATCACCCTGGGACACAACTACATGATCATGGACCCACACATAATGAGTAATAAGAATTATATTCGTAATCTTTTATTTGAAATTTGCAACATTAGGTAGTAAATCTAAAAAGTACTTGGAGTAAAGGTAAATTAGAGGTTATGTACTTAAAGTAAGGTAATCATGTTAAAATCTCTAAAGATGAGAACAACACACTGGCGCCATCTATCGGGTAGTCTAGCACACTTGGCATTTTCGTATTTTACTTTTTTTCGCCCATCACTTTTTCATTTTTTGGCTTGAACAAACAAACAAACAACCTTTTGACAATGTTATAAACGGCAATTTCTCATAGATACCACGTACACATTTTATTTGGCAAACACCGCAAAGCCTTCGCTCTAGTGAAATGGAGTCCCAGGTTCACCCCATAGATGGCGCCAGCGTGCCGGCGTGTTCTCTCGTCGTAAGAGACCACAAGAACTCGGTCGTAAGCAAACGCCAGTGTGTGAACGGGCCTTGGATCGCCTTTGATCGTCCATTGTTCGCTTTCCGCGTTATAAAAAAAAAAAAGAAGAGACAACTGTGCCGGCAATTTATAGATCCCAGTCTATAGCCATCCCATTGAACATGACTAAGTGGAATAAATTTGTCATAAATTCGGTGCATCCTTTACTCGGTGATGCGAAGATATATTTTTTTTAATCTTTAAATTGTTGGTTCTCTAGAGCTAAGTTAAAGGGACTCAAAATGGTTTTGTTGTTATCTTGTCCACGCAGCGAGGGGACTCGGTGCTCTGGAATTCCTCGATGAATTTGCGTTCACGATCGTCCTCAATGGAGTCATGGCCGTCGAAACGTTTTTCGTTATGAGGTAAGTTTTTTGTTATTTTTTTAGTTAGTTGTGCCATCTGTTTGCCTGTAACTTTTTGGGCCAAGAACCGGTTGGGCGCTTCAAGGATCTTCACACTGGTAGCTGCGGGGGTTCTGCAAGGGCTAATCTTTTTGCATGATCGGTTCGCAGAAGCTTGGCCGCTCGTGCACCTCTTTCCTGCTTGCATTAGTTAGAAGTGGGAACATCCACGCTGCGGGGTGGCGTTTGGAGTTCAAGGCGACGCCCAGGCTAGTACAGGGAGTTCTCGAGAAAAGAAAACTTTGTTTTTCGGCCCTGGTAAATTAACTACGCATCGCAGACAGCTCAAACTTCGTGAAAACGTGAAGCTAGCGGTTGGGATGGAACGCGAAAGTTTCAGAACATGACATTACCTGGATCAAAAGATAGTTGAGGGAAAAAGGAATTTTTCTATGAGCCGGCATCTACCTGAGCCTAATATCGCCAATAAAAGAAACGACACTGTGGGCACCTGTAAAAAGTATTAAAAAAAACTTGTCAGCCAGAGAGAGTTTTCTTTCTTGCTGACAATCTTTTTTTAAGTTGATATGTTACAGGCACTTACGGTGTCATTTCTGTTTTGACGATATTAGGCTTAGGCTCACAGAGAAAAATTTAGTTTCTTGTTGTCAATTATATTTTGATCGAGGAAACGTCATGTTCTCAACCTTTCGCGTTCTATACCAACCGCTTGCGTCACATCCTCACGGAGTTGAAGTTTTCTGGAATGCATAATTAATAATAAAAAAACTTTTTGTTTGTTTGTTGTTGTTTTTTTTTTGTTTTTTTTTTGGGGGGGGGAGACTTTTTTTTATACTAAGAAATGGGTGGATGGTTGTGGACCAACTCGGGCGCTTATTTTCTTTTGGAAAGATAGGTCCCAGAAACAATGGCTTATGATTCCCCCTGTAAGGGAGACGAAGTGTAAATGTATCGTCGCGAATTTCGCGACGATACATGTCGCGCTGTTCTCTACACTTTCTCTACGCAGGCATCACGCGTGGACTCGCTACATTCAATACGATTACTGTAAGACTCGGGAAAAAGATATACAGTCATCTTTTCAGCTGCTCTTGTGCTTTCATGTATTCGCTACTCCTGATGCGCATTAAAGGGACAACGAAACATTATTTGGTTCAAATATTACTGCAGTCACTGGCAGTTTAGTTATGAGAAACGCAGGGAGTGGCGAGTCTCAAGCATCTTATTACCGCTCCGCAGCCAATCAGACTGCGGCATCAGCCCATAAGAACGCCAAACAACCAATCACGAGGCAAGAAGTGTGAACATACATTAAGCCACGCCCTGTGTGTGGCTTGATAAGCTATAACTACAGCACGAAAACTAAAGCTTCTGAGGCCCTTTAGACGACCCGCAAAAATTGGTTTTTGAATTTTGCGCTGCAATTTACTACAGTGGCGCAAGCAGGTGGTGGAGATTTAAGGTGGAAAAAATCAAGAAATGAACTTACCTCGTTCGAAAGGCGAAAAAAAAAAAACAACACAGGGCAGCAAATTAATGGTCGAGGCAAATTTGTAGAAACCACAGGGGTGATTATCTACGAATACGGTAGCTTTTATTGTTGCACACCGTCGAATTGAGCGGGGAAACATGAATTGGTGCATAGTGACGTCAATTTTTCCTCTTAATTTAGCATCGTCCTTCCGGACGTCGCTAAATCCTTGTCGTCCTTGAGATCACCCTAAAGGTCGTACTTGACGTTGTTCTTGACGTCGTCCTAGACGCCGTCCTTGACGTCGTCGAGGAAGACATCCTTAACTGGACATCTGAAACGACCTCTAAGACGACATCTAGCTATGGCGACCTCAAGGACGACCTCTAGGAAAATCTCAAGAACGACGTCGAGGACCTGTAGGACGACATCTAGGACGATCTCAAGGACAACCTTTGGATCGACGGCGAGAATGACGTCAAGGTCGTCCGGTCCTTCGACAAGGGAGCGAATGTGAAGGAATGTGCACTGCCGCTCCGCATACGCGCGGCGCAATGGGGTGCAAGCACAGTGAGCTGAATTGGTCAAGTGCGCATACCTACTGCGCATTACGAAGCCAGAATACATATAGCTGAAAATCTTTGACTAGTAGCTTAATAATGCTATCGCATTAAAAACCTGTTCTGGGCAGTCTACGCCGCCACTTTGCAGACGATGCACGCGCAGAGGAAGATGGTGCCGACAGATGGCGTACGCCGCGTCGAGGGAACGCCGGCCGATTCGGGTTCTTTTGCCAATAGCGTGGACAAATAAGCTATTTGATTGTTTTATTATTATTTTTTAGATAGTTTGCTATTAACTTGAGTCGGCCGTAGTAGTAAATACGTTTATTGAAAAGAAAAGGTAAGACAGGGATGAGGTAGGAATGAGGAAGGGAATCAGATGTAGAGGAATGAGGCTGGAAGAGCGAATAAAACTGAGCAGTGATGTCAATAGTCGTTTTCTGTGAGCGTTCTTGATGCTTGGGCGGGTCCACTTTGTGTAGCTTGAAGGCCTTTTTTCTGGTGGTAATTTTGCGTTGGCTTCTAGTCTTCGCTTTACCAAGAAAACGTGGCTACTGATGCTTTTAGTTTTTTTCTCTAATCTTCAAATACATTACGTTCTGCAACATTACGTTAACTGTATCAAAAATAAATGATAAAAACGAAAACTTATTGTGATCCAAGTAAGGATAGTGTTGGAAATGGGGCATTATTTCTCTGAAAAAGGCTTGTGAATCCGAGAAGCAATGGTGTTTCCTTTCTTTCTCGCAGCCTGTTTGTTTAGAAAGAACAGTCAAACTTTTCTTTTTATCCAAGTAAAGTGATGTCACCGTACTTGCGCATTCGATAACCATCGATAGCATTATATTAAAGCAGAATTCCGGATTGCAATACATAGTTTACTTATCTGGGGCGACGGGGATTTCCATTTTTCTGATTGGGCTCTGCCTATAAAAAGCAGGGCACAACCCGAAAAGCAATCTTAAACTGCAAAAGAACTTCGACAATTTATCAAGTTCATGTTTTTTACTGATAGCTTTTCAATCGTATACAATCGATATTTTTTCAATAGTTTATAGGGAGGATTTTTACCGTTTTCTGATTGGTTTCCAATAGGTTTTAGAATGTTCCTCGATAATTATGCGCAGTGCCGTACCAACCTGTTTTTGACTGGGGAGGCAAACCAGACCGGTGCTTTTGGTATCCGTTGGGCGCCTCCGGCCAGTGTTTGTCCTGCCCAGTGGCGGCTGTTTCGAGGGGGGGGGGGGGGGGGGCAAAACATGCCTTGCCCCCCCCCCCCCCCCCCCTCCCCCCGGTTGGTACGCCGATGATTATGTGGAAGTCCTCGATTGCAGTTGCGTTTTTCTTCAAGCTACATGACATTTTCTGCATGGAAACATGACGTTCTTCGTCACCTAATGAAGCATTATCGATAGCTTTACGATTGCTGGCAATCGATAGTTTCTCAATATTCGACTATAAAAAATTTCACGATATTCGACTCTAAACAATTTCACGATAGTCGACTATTGATATGCTATCGAGTTCGCAATAGTCGACTCTCGTGAAACTCGATTTTCGACTGCCAATAGTTGACTGTTGTGAAACTATCGATAGTCGACTATTGACAGTGTACTATCGATCATTTTGTGTTAGTCGACTATCGATAGTTTTTTCATTATCGATAGTATTGGTATTTCTGTCGATAAGTTTGCGTCACTATTTTACACTCAAGAAAGCTCCGCTTTGCACCGCTTCAACTCTTATTACTTGTCGGATCGTGATTTTCTTGTCTGTCTGTTCCTGCTGTTCAGCGGATTTCTAGTTGGGCACGGGGTCCTTGTCGAAGCCAAGAAGAAATCGTCCCTCATATGTCTACTTCCAGTGGCTATTATCAGGAGGTATATCAGGTAAGCCAAATGTTCAAATCCAGTTTATACCTTAACCTTTTGAGCTAAGCGTTTTGTTTCCTCAGTCGCACAAAACCATGCAGGTCGTAGGAACTGACAGATGTAGATAAGTTTTTATGCATAATTTATCATGGTACTTGCCCACCCCCCCCCTTTTTTTTTCGTTTATTATAGTTACACAAAGTTGTGGCGTACGCTGTGCTGTGAGCTCAAGAAGAGTTGAACGAGACGTCTTATATCGGTTATGAGAGCTACTTCATCATGTTTAAAGATACCGTGCTCACTAAACCAACGATCTGTTTTGGAGCTTATAACCTTTAGATGTTAATATTTTCAGCGACTTGTTAGTGCAGCGAATATTGACGCCTAACACCAGGTTTGCAGCGTGTACGTTTTCATTGACTGATTTGCTACTTATTGGTAACCATCAAGGTCTCAGCTATTGATTAGCTCATCAAATTGATGAATGAATTATTTTTTTGTTTGTTTTATATCGTGACGAATGAATCAATAAAAAGCGGGGCAGTCACATGAGCTTTGAGTGGAATTCGGATGCCGCGCCGTAACTCAAAAAAAGGTCGGGGACATCACCATTAATACATATATTTTTTTTTTCTGACAACAAGTGTAACTTTGAACATGATGGCAAAGCCTGAGACCGAGGTGGGAAGGGGTTTTGAACAGTAATAGGGACAGAGAGAAAGGGGAAAGACCGCGTCTCAAACACAGCGACAAAATTTACCTTGGCCACGCCCAATATAGACCTTTTTCGCTTACCTACTCTCGTCCCCAGCCACCTGGTAGGCATATCCGGTGTGGGCGACGAAAAAATAATAATATATTTTAACCTCCAAATAGTAAAAAAAATAAACGAAAGACAAAATGAGAATGGGTTACGGTTGTGCTTATGTCCTAAATGTATTCAGTTAGCGTGACGACGGCAAACAATGTTTTCGCCCATACGATGTAAGTGACGATATTTCAAGATGGCGGCGCTCTTGCGAAATATATCTATGCTTTCCCCTCTCGGGGGATTCACTCGCACTTTCTCGCGTGAGTTGAAACGTGGTGGCGCCACGGTGCAAGTAGCGCCCAGCCACTTCCAGTTCTGAACTACACGGCGGGTTTCGCAGTATTTCCGAAATCAAATATACAGGCTATCTTTTTGAAATGGTTATTTATAGCACTGTCCGACTCAATTCACTTTAACGAAAAAATAATGATGGATAAAAAATTAAGAGTTATTCGTGAACCGGAAGTGTGCCGGGGCCACCCAACAGATGGCGCTATTAAATTTGTTGCCAAACAAAACAGGGCGGGTATACACTGTGAAAAAAGCCCGTGCGTCTACTTTCCCTCACAACACTCGAAGATCCAATCACCGTAACTTACGGCGGCAGCTCAGCAAATGACGATATCGAAACATACGTTTAGACGAAAAAACGCAGTATGATACCTCTTAGTGTGCTGTATCTAAAATGCTGTATATAGTTTCTCCTCACTTTTACTGTGTGACCGATTTCTCTAGTTGTCAGCAACCTCATCTGAATAGAAATATATGAAAGGTGTGTGCTAGTTTCCTGAAACTGGAACTCAAAGTCACTTCTCGTATAGGGCACTGCTAAGTGTAGGCTTTGAAAAAGTACCCTACTTTGAGGAGTTATGTCTTCTTTCTCAATAAAATAATGCAACATGGCTTTAAAAATAAATGCCGAAAAAGAATATAACAAGGTGTCTAAATTAAAAAAAAAATGGAAGGTGGTGTTTTTCTTTTATTTGCATCGAAATTTTTCGTTGTTTGATTTTTCCCATGTTTGTCTAAATATATCATGGCTATCGTATCACTCAGATACCTAATATGTACTTTAAATAATAGCCACATATAAGTATAATAGTATCTGAAAAGTAAATTATGGTGATTAAATTATTTCATGAGATACAGACCTCCAAAGTTTACCTTTTGTCGTTCGAGCAGGCATGTTTGGCAATTTTTAGAAAAACGAATATAATTTAAATCAATATAATTACTACATCTTACAAGCAAGCTATACCTGTAGTTTGTTTGCAAAAAGTATTAGAATTCTCCTAATTTTATCCTTTTAGTGTTTCACTTTCAAACGTGCCCCCTCCATCAGTGCGCGTTAAGGCAACTGTCCACCTCTTCATGCCTTGCAATTTTCCCTGTCCCCAATTTTTTTTTCTTGTCAAAACTAAGTGTGGATTCGTTTATGCCAGACACTAGGCAATGGCGTATAAAAACATCGGTTGATTTAAAAATGTCGATCAGCCGTTGTTTGGTCGATCTTATCTGAAATCACCGTCCTAATGAATACTTTAGCAGGGCTGATAGTTGAAAAAATGTCCTACTTGGCCTAGGATGGACCATCAAAACATCTCCCGAAAAAAAAAAAAAACAATATCGTTTTTTTTTTTTTTTTTTTGCATTTATGAAGTGGTGTCTGGCACCACTTCATGGAACGCAGATGAACAGATGTGAACAGATAAACTTGCGAGTTCATCTGCTCTATGCGATTCAGCACATTGTTAGACGGGTCGTCGACCTGCTTTTTCACTGTCTCCATGCATTCGTCCCTTTATTAGTTTATTTTTATGGAAATTAGTGTCAGAGGGTACGTCCAGTACGGCCATAGACATCCGTAATCCTCCCCCGGCATCATTTCAGTCGCTTCGGCGCCGAACTTGGCCGAACGAAGAACAGGACCAGACGAAGGTGTTCGTTAAAACGTCCACAATTTAGGCTCGTCATGGCTCTAAAAGTGGCCCATTACCACTGTATCATTGGTCCTGAACAAAAAGGGATACATTTACATCGCACAACTAAGCGAGAGCGACACAAGACACCGACACACCCGCGAACCCGCTGAAATCGAAATCAACCAAATTGAAGCCGCCTTATGGCGCCGCATATGTCAGCGCTCTCTGTCCACCTGTCAGGCAACTGATAAAATGAAAATGTCTATATCAACTCAGTACCCTCAACATTGATCCTCTTTTGTGTGCTTGAATCAACTATTTTCTAGCTGCTCACAATATGTTTATTTTAATGATGCAATGGCTCGCACTTGGTCCTCTCACGTGACTGCTGGTGTACCCAAAGGTTCAGTCCTAGGCCCCCTTTTGTTCCTAATCTTTATTATTACCTTCCAGCCCAGGTCTCATCCTCCATTGGTCTGTTCGCCAACGACTGTGTAATATACTCTGAAATAACTATGATTCTGATGTTGAGTCACTTCAAAGCAGTCTTGGGTAGTAACGCGTTACTAGTAACGCGTTACTGTAATTTCGTTACTTTTTGGTAACTTGTAACTGTAACAAGTTACTTTTTAAAAATGTAACTTGTAACTGTAGTTCTATTACTTTTTTCCGAGGTAACGATGAAAGTAACGACGTTACTTTTGTCGTTACTTTCCAGTTTTTTATGAATATTATATCACTGAACGAGTACAATTTAGCCATTTTTTGCGCTTTCCAAATTGTCTCTTCCGACATTTCGAGTGTCAAGTTATTTTTTGCACAGACTTGTGAATACGTTCTTTCTCGCCAGTCCCGACCCCAATATAGCCACGTGTAGGTTTGGTGAAAAAAAAAATGTAGTTATCCTTAACACGCGCTTGTACTTTGTGACTGAACACTTGCATCTTAGTGTCTTGAAGAAATATCTCTTTCGCAGTTTTCCTTTTTTTCTGCGCAAACGCTTTTTAATCGGGTGAATCAAACGTGAAACAATACACGCGGAGGGCACTGAGAATGTTTCGTATTTTGATTAGCGCCGCCACTCCGCACTGCGCATGTTTCGTATTTTGATTTGCGCCATTAATCCGGTGTAGTGTCTACAGTCGAGGCAAAATTTACTGCTGTTTGCGCGGGGTTTGTTTCTGGCTTGCCGGGTACAAACTGAAATATGTCCAGGGACTCTATGAACCCAGCGCAACCGTCAACGAGCCAGCAATGTGCTAGTGCTACCAAGGATATGAATGTTGATAAGAACAAAGAAAAACTACCATGGCAGGCGTACAGAGAGTATTTCGCTGACGTGGAGGAGGCTACTAACACCTTGACCGCAGAAAACGGCACTCTATTGCCTCACAGCCTACCCGGCAACCAAAAACCTTTTCCGGCGAAACAACACTGCAATCCCATCTAGCGCGTTAGACGAGCGCCTGTTCAACAAGGGCAGGGACGTGTTCGTTATCAAACAAGAGAAACTTTCAGAAACTAATTTCGGGAAGCAACTGCTGCTAACTTACAATACGAAGTAAAAATAACACTTTTTTTAATTTTATGCAAATAAACCTGGTGAAAAGCGTTTTCTAGTTTTTCCTCATTTTTTTTGTGTTACAGAAAAAGTAACTGAAAAGTAACGTCGTTACTTTTTAAAAGTAACTGTAACTGTAACGAGTTACTTTTTTGTTGCGGTAACTGTAACGGTAACTTCACTACTTTTTTCTGAAAGTAACTGTAACTGTAACGAATTACTTTTTAAAAGTAACTTACCCAAGACTGCTTCAGAGTGACCTTAACGATGTCGCTTGATGGTGTGATAGATGGCAAATTAAACTTAACATTAACAAGTGCAAATCCGTGAAACTGCCACGTCAGAATAACACTGTACTTCTTACCAACCCGAATGTGTTGTATTAGATTATGTATCTTCGGCACAAATACCTCGGCGTACACATAACTAACAACCTAACGTGGAACATTCATATTGAATATGTAACTAGTACTCTGCTTACCGCATTCTCGACTTTCTCAAAAGAAACTTCTTTTTTGCACCGCTGACCTTAACTGCTCCTTTAAAAAGCCGCAAGCTCGAATACGCAGCCACTATATGGGATCCTGCTAAACCTCTTGCATTATCACTAGAAGCCGTTCAAAACCGTTTCGTTCGTTTCATATCAACATAACTACCATCGCACACCAAGCGTGACAGCAATGAAAATCACTTCAGAGCTGTCTGACCTCTCCTTCTGCATAAGAGTATCCCGGCTTATCTTATTTCATAAGGTCCATAAACCATAACCCTTCATTACGCCGGCATCTCATTACACAATCATCTTATCTCTCGTCAAGTGTCCATCATCGAAATAAAGTAGGCATCCCCCTTTGTCACTCATCAAGTTTTATACCCATAACATCTCTGGATTTGAATCGCTTTCCCACACCTATTGCCGTCATAGTCGAAACCGCCGAATTTAAAGATGTCATTTGTGAATTTGTTTTGTACACTTTCGTGTTACGTTTATCTGCCTCTAAATAGTTTTGTGTATTTATTTAGAATCTTTGTTTGTTTCATATTCACCTACATATGTTTTGTGCATTTTATTTGTCTGCTTTTTGGCCATAGCGTCCCCCCCCCCCCCCCCCCCCCCCCCACCTCCCTCTGTAATGCCTTCGGGACCTGAGGGAGGAAATAAAATAAAGTAAAATTTAAATACTTTCTACCCACCGTTTACAAAGGAAGCCAAGTGGATTAGCTTTGCGTGTTAATCATTGATCAGGGGCGTGTTTATAAAAGGCAGGAAACATGAAAGACGAAATTCCGTGGACTGGTACCTTGGTCACAGGTAGCGTTTTCTGTAATTTTGTCTTAAGGCAGCGATTCTAAGGAAAAGACGGGCGCACATCGTTGTCTGTCCGCAGACTGACCGTTCCAGCCATCTTCCTGATCGGCCTTGCGTTCGTGTTCCCACTCCTGGTGAGTGGGCCCCTGGCAGATGACTTGCTCAACTACCTGGTCAATGACGTCTGTAGGCGGAATTGGTGGACCATCCTGGCTCATTCAAGCAACTTCAGAAACGCTGTGGACATGGTACGCGGACTGACGTCTTTCGCATTTATAGTTGCTTGTTCTTACATTAGCTTAGTGGAGCAAGTACCATCGAAGGCAGCAGCAGTCTCGAACTAGCATCACAAAAGTTAATTCTTATTCTTGCCTGCTCAGTACTTACTATTTACTCATATATTCAGAACACACAATGCCTAACACATGCGACTAAAAAAAAATCTTTTTTAACGGTATATCGGTTGCGGAACACATGCTCTGTCGGTCCGAAGCTGTCAATCCAAGGACGAGCCCTAGTAAAAAAACCACTTGTATGAGAAATTTCTTGTGTACAATACACACATACGTATCATTCAAGGTATATAAGAAGATATAAGAACTAGATAAGTATATAAGAACTATATAAGATATATAAGAAGATATAAGAACTGTATAAGATATAAAAGAAAATGTAAGAACCATATAAGAAACATATAAGATTCTTCTCACAAGTTTATTATATGGTTCTTATATGTATAAAATATATACATATACAAAATACAAATGAGATTTTATATATATAAAATCTCATTTGTATGAAAACTTTCTGTGTCCAATAAACAGATATGGATCATACAAGATATATAAGAACATATAAGTACCCTAAAAGAATCATATAAAAATTATATAAGAACTATATGAGATATATAAGATCATAAAAAAAACATAAGAAACTTGTGAAAAGTTTCCTATGTGGTTCTTATTTGTTCTTATATATCTTATGTAGTTCTTATATGGTTCTTATATGTCCTATATGTCTTGTATGATTCATATGTGTTTATTGGACACAAGAAATTTCTCATACAAATGGCTTTTTCACTAGGGGTACGCATCGCCATGTTTGCTTTTTTATGCTTTCCAGTGCATCCCAAGCCTATGGTACATTGCCTGCGAGTACCAGATTTTCCTCGGAGTGATCCTTTTCGTGTTCCTTTTAGCAAGGTACGTAAAAGTTGTCTAATCACGGATGCTGATAGTCGCGTGCGGTTTAACTATTAACATTGGTCGTGGGGTTTACTTTTGTAATGTAAGCTGCTCACTTACAGGAAACCTGTCCTAGGCGTCATCAGCCTGGTAGCCATTGGTCTGGCAGCTTGCATCGCTGTCGGTGCACAAGTATTCATCAACTCCTTCGAGCCACTGCCCTACGCACACACGACTGATCTTCAGTAAGTAAATACACAGTGAACATGCATCGATGTGAACATGTTGCCATTTAGAAGCAAAATAAAACAAACCTCGGGCAAAAAGAAAAAAAAATCCATTGGTGGATCCATAAGGAATTCATTAACATGACTCTTGGGAAACGCTTCACACGTCCCCTCTTGGGAAACGCTGACGTTGACCCCTTCACTTTTCTGTTTTGGCTTTCTCTTTTTTTTTTTCTCTCTTTTGCTTTCCTTGTTTTTCGCTGCCTCTTTTTGCCTTCGTTATGGGGTCAGTGTTAGCGTTTCCCAAAGGTGGAACGCGTGGAACGTTTCCCAAGCGCCATGCTAACGGACTCCCTAAGGATCCACCAAAGGATCTTGCTTTAATTTTTTTTTTTTTTTTCCGGCTTCTGTCGCACGCAGTTTCGCGTCGGCTTGCCGCTTCGTGTGCCGCATTTCGGCCAGCCGAGCTACGCGCTAGGCGCTGCTTCCGCTCCTCGTTTCCGCTGCCTGACGCTGCTGCAAGTTCAGACTCGCCCCAGCATCCGCGCGCGCATTGGCTTCCGCCCCGTGACGTCACTACTTACGCGGCGCGCCTTCCTTTCCACTTTTTGTCCGCAGACGGACGCCGTCAGCTTTTCTCTGTCATGTGGGTACTAATGCTAACGCAGTAATAAGCGCACACGTTTGTTTGATGTTGGACTAAACTAATTGTTGTACGTGGCGCGCGCGAGTGCGGGGGCGTTTGTTCATATGACCAGTGCTATTTCAGAAAAACCCTGTTAAGCCATGAAACAATCTACATCAAGCCAGTGGGGCACAGCACGGCCTTTGTCGTGGGGGTCCTCGCAGCCTATTGCTTCCACAAGTACAGGGGCGTCAAGTTTGGAAAGGTGAGCTATATTATATGTCATAACACTTACCTGAATGGCCCCTTTGGCCGTCGCTCAGTGCTACGTATAAAAAAGTTTATTACTATATGCATTTTTTTTTACTTTTTTGTTAATCTGTGGATTCTAATTGCGTTTAAGTGTGTCCTTTAGTGTATCTCCGGCGACAAATATCCTTGCGCCCACAAAAATACTTTGTCCGGGGCCTATTCTGTAGCGGTATATATATTTTATAGCGGGACCTGTTGCTACTGCTCCAATTAATAATGTGCATGTAGCGCAATAGGATGTTGGCAAGCGAAATAGCGCAGCTCTGTAATATGTTTAGCTTGCACAAAGAAAAAAAATACCACGAGTGCAGAACCCTTGACGTTGGGAATGACGTAAAGGATTCCCCACAAGAGACGGAGGATCACAACAGGGTTAGGACATATCGTGTGAAATATCACAGGACATGTATTGTGCCTTTTTCATACGTTACACACTGTTGTTGGTGTTACTAAAGAAAGTAAGCAAGTATCTTACTTGTTACCTGCAAATAAAAGGAACGCGTTACCGTTATTGATAAAAGGTATACTTTTTATCCTTTTGCGTTGCATCTTATTTATGACACGACAGGTTTTGCGACGCCGGGACTAGGGATGTGGTAGAAAAATTTTAGAGGTGTGTGGGATGAGCGCAAGAAGTCATGACTTGGCGTATGTAAACACACACAAAAATAGATTTTTCCTTTTTTGGGAAAAGATGTAAGGAGTAACGGAAGTACGTTACCCATAGCTTGAAATAAAAAAAACAAACAAACAAACAAGTACATTATCTGTTACTGTTTTGACAAACGTAACGAAAACGCTACTATACGTTACTGAAAAAAGAACCGCGTTATCAGTAACGTCGTTACTGGTAACCCGTTACCGCTACTACTCTTAGAGATGACGTCGTCTAAAAGTATCAGCTCTGTCTCACGCTCGGGTCGCAATTCTCTCCAAAGCTCAATTAGGGCGTGCTTTCTGTGTCCCACAGTGGACGCACATCCTCGGCTGGTCGGTCAGCGTCGCAGCGGGGTTGACAGTGGTGTACGTGATTTTCGACTGGAACCACAAGGGCTCCTACTCTCTGGCCTGGACCTCCGTGTACGCGGCCACCCACCGGCTGGCCTGGGCACTCGCCCTTGCCTGGGTCATCTTTGTCTGCAGCACAGGACAGGCGGGTACGCCCCGTGGCGCCTTCCTTTCGGATGTCTAGTTCTCTCTGAACGCTGGATGTCACTCGCATGAAGCCGCGAACAATGCTCAGAGGACAAGGTTATAACCATATCGCGTTTCCTCAATCCTGAAGTGGCATTCATGCGCAGTTTATATTTTTTCTACACCGTAAGAAAAGGCAGTATATGACTGAGTGAAACTGCTTCCAGTGTAATTCAAATTAGTGTTCGTGAGTGGCCATGGAGGCGGCTCATGAACAGAAGGGGTACCAGTTAGTTTCTATAAACTTTAGAAAAACACTTGCGGCCCAATGGCAGAGCAACCAACTGGAACCACTTTCAGGCCAAGTACCACCTGCGGCCCAAATGCTACCACCTGCAAACACAGTCACTTGCAGTCCAAGTGGTATCACTCGCTATCCTAGTGGTACCACTTAGGAGCAAGTGATACCACTTGGAACACCACTTCATATTTTCGCTGGGGAAGCTGGTGGAGCTTGCGAATAGCTTTGCTGTGGCTCCGTGCAACCCAAAATTCCCCCCCCCCCCCCCCGCCCATTTTTTTTTTTTTGCTGTTCCGTGCTCTTTTCTTTTTTTCTTCTTTTTTTTTTTTAAGTCGGGACGCATATGAGACGACTGGTTGCATCTGATTTCGTCGAACGAGCAGGTGGGGTTCTCCACTAAGCGTTGTTTTCTGCCTTGTTCCCGGATCTCCAGCATGGGTGAATCGTCTGCTGTCTCTCGACGTGTTCGTTCCGCTGAGTCGCCTCACCTTCTCCAGCTACCTCGTACAGCTGCTCGTGATGGTCGCCAAACTCACCGCCGCCAGGCAGTCGTTCCTCATCGCTCACTGGGATATGGTAAGTGCACCGCTTGAAGTTGGCTTTCCCCACGAGCATGTAATAGGGCTAGATGCAACTTTGAGGGTGAGTAAGTTTCAAACTGAAATTATATCTTTACTTTGAATAATAGAAATGTGAATTGAGTGAAACTAACTAAAAACCTAATTATCCGTAAAGGCATGCATATCTCTCTAAATTGGCGAGGTGTTTCGGTGGCGCCCTCTTCTAGTTTTTACCCATGACATCACGACTAAGATGATTGTCAGTCCCGAAGCGCAGCGTTTGATTGTGCGTATAAAAAGCACGATGGAAGGTTGAAGACGACGCATTTTTAAACCAACTCAGTCAAAGCTGCTGGCGACCTGACATTACTCTTATTACCATCTAGGAAAACAGCGTCAATCCTACTAAAACCGTTATAGTGAGCGCTTGGCCAATCATAGAAGGCCGACCAGATTGATGATTTTAGTCGCGCGCGTTAACAATAGGCTCCTTGGATATTTCTAATTCGGCGTCAACATTTTTGTGTGGGTTACATAGTTATCGCAGGAGAATGTTGACCAACGTTCGATGAAACGCCTCTTCAGAACAACTCGTCTTCTCTCCCTTCCCTGTATGCCTGGCAGCTTTGCCCTTGAAAGCTATTAGGAGAGCAAGTCGTCTGCTTCTTGTACAGGAGTTGCTGAGGCGTCAGAACGATGCCAAGCTCTGATTGATTGCCTTTGATTGAAAAGATTGCGAGTAGACCTCAATGCTAGACGCCTTGAGGTTTATCCACCATTTTTAAGAGCGCAGCTTTTAGGCGCCCGTTTCCGGCTTGAGCGGCGTCGCTGTCGGCGTAACCGCGCGGTGCATTATGAGAAACGTCCCATAATGACGTCACACGTGACGTCACGAGGGTCCCGCGCGTTGCATTATTGGAAACGCTATGCCTCCTCCTTCGTACCCTCCCCCTCTCCTCCTCAAAAGCTCTTCTCTAATTCGGCATTACAGAAAATCGTGAACGTCGTTAATTTTTTTTTTCAATCAGCCAATAAGAGCTCGGCGTTCTGACGTCATTGCAACCTCTGTGCAAGAAGCAGACGAACTTGCGCTCCGTATAGCACCCAACAATGAGTGGTCATGCAATTGCAGTGTTGTACACGTTCCTAAAAAAAAGGAACGAAAGCTTGTTCCTCGTTGCTTCTGATTTTTGGAACGCATTCCCGTTGCAAGTTCCATCTGTGAATAAAGAACTCGTTCCCGTTACAGTTAAAAAATGGAACGTATCGTTACATATAGGTTACATTTGTATTTTATTGATTACCATATTTAATTAGATCAAAGAAAGTTTTCTTTTCTTTATCAATCCCATCATATGGAAACATTTGAATTTGAATGCCGTGATGGAAGGGCACCAGAAGACGAAAACAAGCGGAAGCAGCGTTTCATTTGTTGATATATCATCTTTAAAAATTTCAGCTTCTAACCATATTCATGTTTGTGACGGCCATTCAGACGAGCCAAATGTATCACTGCTACCCCACACTGCACGAGCGTTTTTCAAGCTCACGCGTTTCAATCTAGCAAAGTCCCTTGTTCGAACTTGACGACAGTTGTTTCTCGAAGTTGTTGTCCGCAAGACGAGCAAGTGGAGAAAAGGGTAGGGCTTTTGGAAGGTCAGTCTTGAAAACTACAAATCCTTCATCGTGAAGGTTGGATTCGTTGTTCACTTTGAAGGTGTGTGTGTGTGTGTGTGTGGGGGGGGGGGGGGGGGGGGCAAGGGCAGACGGAATGAAAGGTAATTGTTGTGTATCTTTTAAGTGACCGATGTTCGGGTTACAACAGTGTGTTTGATGTCTGGTAAGCTGTTCTTTTGTTGTAACTCTAGGTCTCTTTGTGAAAACTCGGGGATGGCTGTAGTCGGCTTTAGATTTCTGGGTGAATGGGGATTTGTGGAAGCAAATAAGGTAGCTGAGTTTGAAATGTCCCTCTTTGTGTGTCTTTTCTTTCGACTAAAAGTTTTGCTTCTAGTACCGTAGTCTCGGGCGCTGAAAAAAAGCATCGATGTCCACTAGCTCTCCTGCAGCCGACTGTTACCAAGCAAGGGTCACACGAAATAAACCCTAAGACAAGTAACCTAAACGTTAACGAGATGCTGCTCTTCGTAAAGATATTGTTTTTCTACTTCTAGAATTTCCTTCTTTGAAATAAAATAAAAATTACCCCCTAAACGACAAAAAGGAACGCCGTTTTTTTTTCGTTCCAGTAAAACTGTAACGAGTTCCCGTTCCAGTTCCACCGATGCAAAATGGAACGGCAGCGTTCTTTCGTTCCTCCTAAAAGGAACGCGTTCCAAGAAAGCCGTTCCTTGGAACGCCGTTCCGTACAACACTGTGCAAAAGTTAGTTATAAAATTTAAAAATAATAGAGCGGGGCTATGCGGAGCGTAAGTTCGTCTGCTTCTTGCGTTCTTGGAAGGATAGTGGCTAGACGTCAATGCTATAGCTGCCTTCAGGTCACGATGTAAGATACACTCTTTAGGTGAGGACACGGCGGGACTGAACGCGCGGCGCGAGGAATCAGATAGTGTTCGTTCGAAGGGCATCTGAAAGGCTGCATTATTCCGCGGCCACCGTGCCCGCGGCTGACAGTGTCGCCGGCGGCCAAACGGCGAAACTGTGTGGGAGCGAAAAAAATTATCTCGTTGCCATGACACCCCGTACACCGTGGTCTTTCTGCACGTGCGACAACCTCGCTGGAGCTCTGCGCGTGTGGAGCATGAGGCGGCACGAGCCGTCTTTGCCGTGCCCACGGGTTGACAAGTCATCTGCCGGTGCCGCTTGAAACCATAGTGAGAGAGAGAAAGAGAGAGAGTGAAAAGCGAACTTTATCTGCATTGCGCGAGGAGCGCGCAGTCCTGACCTGAAGAGTATTATCTTACACCGTGCTTCAGGTCTACCCACTATCCTTCCATTTCATTTCATTTCATTCCATTACAAAACCCCCAGAGGGGTATTACATAGGGGGCAAGTACATAAATGGGGTATACATAGACGCCAAACGATTTAAACGCCATACATGTGCTGTTACGTATTTTCCATGAACGTTGATGGGCAGGTGATTGCAGCAGTGTCGTGAGAAAGGCCGTTCCAGTCCGGAGCTGCTCGGGGGAAAAATGAAGCAGAAAAGGTAATGCGGGTGCTGAGGCGGGCAGTTTGGAGGCAATGACCCGTGCGATCCAATATGCGTGCAGGGGGTAAAATGTAGGGTGGTTGACAAAGCGCGGCCAATGAAAAAACCTATTAAACAAACAGAGGCATGGTGATGCGGCGTTGGCTGGAAAGAGGCGGGGACCCTGATTCAGCTTTTAAGGACGATATGCTGCTGGTATTGTATGAATATAAAGAATGAATGAACCGAGTAGCGCGATTTTGGACAGCTTTGAGCGCGTTGATTTGATATATTTGGTGTGGGTTCCAAATCGCAGACACATATTCTATAGCTTTGATCGGATAAGCGATTTGTAAGCGAGTAAATTTACGTGCTGCGGGTCGAGGTGGAAATGACGCTTCAGGAATCCCAGGGAGTATTCAAGAATTCTTTGATCCAGTTTAAGATGTCGGGATTTAGACTCAAATGTAAAAGCTTTTTAAGCGAACGCTGATGGGTGACTTTGTCAAAGGCTTTAGGAAAATCGAGAAAACTTACGTCACTTTGTAGGTTACGGTCGAGGTTAGTATGCAGTTCATGGAGGATGATGGCCAGCTGAGTTTCGCAAGAGAAGCCCTTGCGAAATACATGTTATGAAGCAGTGATTCTCAACCATCGGTGTTTCGCGGACCCCTTGTGGACCGGCGGAGATTATGGAGGACCCCGTTTGCTGTAAGGGGAAAGGAAAGGTATAGGTTAAATATGATAATGATTAAATAAATGGATATAACTAAAGGCTGGTGTGAAGTAGACCTCTCTTATTTAAATACACACGAGAAAATTCGCCCGAAAACTGAAACATTTCTTCTCGACCTGAAAAAAGTAAACTTTTGTTGCCGGGCTTGGCTGGTGAGGCAGGGCTTCGCGGACCTTAAAGGGTCCGCGGACCCCCATTTGAGAACAACTGTTATGAAGGATGCTAAAAATGGTCCGGGCATGGCTGGTGAGGCAGGGCTTTGCGGACCTTAAAGGGTCCGCGGACCCCCATTGGAGAACCACTGTTATGAAGGATGCAAAAAATGGTCCGCGCTTGGCTGGTGAGGCAGGGCTTCGCGGACCTTAAAGGGTCCGCGGACCCCCATTTGAGAACAACTGTTATGAAGGATGCTAAAAATGGTCCGGGCTTGGCTGGTGAGGCAGGGCTTTGCGGACCTTAAAGGGTCCGCGGACCCCCATTGGAGAACCACTGTTATGAAGGATGCAAAAAATGGTCCGGGCTTGGCTGGTGAGGCAGGGCTTTGCGGACCTTAAAGGGTCCGCGGACCCCCATTGGAGAACCACTGTTATGAAGGATGCAAAAAATGGTCCGCGCTTGGCTGGTGAGGCAGGGCTTCGCGGACCTTAAAGGGTCCGCGGACCCCCATTTGAGAACAACTGTTATGAAGGATGCTAAAAATGGTCCGGGCATGGCTGGTGAGGCAGGGCTTTGCGGACCTTAAAGGGTCCGCGGACCCCCATTGGAGAACCACTGTTATGAAGGATGCAAAAAATGGTCCGCGCTTGGCTGGTGAGGCAGGGCTTCGCGGACCTTAAAGGGTCCGCGGACCCCCATTTGAGAACAACTGTTATGAAGGATGCTAAAAATGGTCCGGGCTTGGCTGGTGAGGCAGGGCTTTGCGGACCTTAAAGGGTCCGCGGACCCCCATTGGAGAACCACTGTTATGAAGGATGCAAAAAATGGTCCGCGCTTGGCTGGTGAGGCAGGGCTTTGCGGACCTTAAAGGGTCCGCGGACCCCCATTTGAGAACAACTGTTATGAAGGATGCTAAAAATGGTCCGGGCATGGCTGGTGAGGCAGGGCTTTGCGGACCTTAAAGGGTCCGCGGACCCCCATTGGAGAACCACTGTTATGAAGGATGCAAAAAATGGTCCGCGCTTGGCTGGTGAGGCAGGGCTTTGCGGACCTTAAAGGGTCCGCGGACCCCCATTGGAGAACCACTGTTATGAAGGATGCTAAAAATGGTCCGGGCATGGCTGGTGAGGCAGGGCTTTGCGGACCTTAAAGGGTCCGCGGACCCCCATTTGAGAACAACTGTTATGAAGGATGCTAAAAATGGTCCGGGCATGGCTGGTGAGGCAGGGCTTTGCGGACCTTAAAGGGTCCGCGGACCCCCATTGGAGAACCACTGTTATGAAGGATGCAAAAAATGGTCCGCGCTTGGCTGGTGAGGCAGGGCTTCGCGGACCTTAAAGGGTCCGCGGACCCCCATTTGAGAACAACTGTTATGAAGGATGCTAAAAATGGTCCGGGCATGGCTGGTGAGGCAGGGCTTTGCGGACCTTAAAGGGTCCGCGGACCCCCATTGGAGAACCACTGTTATGAAGGATGCAAAAAATGGTCCGCGCTTGGCTGGTGAGGCAGGGCTTCGCGGACCTTAAAGGGTCCGCGGACCCCCATTTGAGAACAACTGTTATGAAGGATGCTAAAAATGGTCCGGGCTTGGCTGGTGAGGCAGGGCTTTGCGGACCTTAAAGGGTCCGCGGACCCCCATTGGAGAACCACTGTTATGAAGGATGCAAAAAATGGTCCGGGCTTGGCTGGTGAGGCAGGGCTTTGCGGACCTTAAAGGGTCCGCGGACCCCCATTGGAGAACCACTGTTATGAAGGATGCAAAAAATGGTCCGGGCTTGGCTGGTGAGGCAGGGCTTCGCGGACCTTAAAGGGTCCGCGGACCCCCATTGGAGAACCACTGTTATGAAGGATGCAAAAAATGGTTCGAGTCTAGAGAATTCATTTTTTGAGAGTATGACGTTTTCCATGATTTTGCGGAGAATCTTTGTCACCTGATTTGAAGACTGGAACGACCTTCCCCATTTTTTTGTCCTCTGGTATGCTGCTTGTGAAAAGTGACTCAGAAAAAATTAAGCAGAGATATTCGGCGGCATTTTGCTTGATGTTCTTTTTAAAAGTTTTGAGTTGATCTCATCTACGCCGACTGATGACGAAGTGTGATGTTTTAATCACACAGGAAATAGCATCTGCAACGAACGTGGTGGGAGGCATTGGTGTCGGTATTTTAGTCAGGTATATAGAAAGTGACGCGCTAGTTTCATAATTAGTAAAAAACGGATGAAAATTAGGCAGCATTAAACACGTTCGCACATTCAGCATCGTTGACAACTTCGCCAGATTCATTAGTGATGTCAGTTTCAATCACTATCCTTCCAATCAGAGCTCGGCATTCTGACGTCACCGTAACACCTGCGCAATAAGCAGACGAACTTGCGCTCCCCATAGTCCCCGACAGCTCAAGAAACGCGGGGCTTATGTTCACGCTTCGTGATTGGTTCTTTGGCGTTGTTATAGACAAATGCCGCAATCTCATTGGCTGCTGAGGGATAATGAGATGGTCGGGGTTTGCCAACGCAATTCCAACCTTCCGTGCCCAGGTACGAGACTACTGTGGCCACACGGTGCTCATCTACATCTTTGCCTACCTGTTCTACCTGTTCTGGGAGTGTCCCGTGGTCAACCTGGACAAGCTGATCATGAACAAGCTCAGGGGGCAGGAGCCGCCCCAGCAGGACAAGAAAAAGGGGCTCTCGCTCGACGATTCGTCCGAAGGCGACGACAGCTGCTGCCGCTTGTGAATGGGGCGGGGGGAGTCTTGTGCGTCACATCGCGTGTTCCGTGACGGTTGATGATCCGATATCACCAATCCCATTGAGTTGTTGGGAAACAAACTGGGTCGCGGTGCCGTCAACCATGAATCATGCGCAGTGACGGGATAAAACGGACACATCTTGAACTCTGAACGTCTAAATTCACCACATTTTCGGCGACTGTGTGAAAAATGCGACGTGCCATTTGTGCCCGACATAACTTTTGCCAAATTATACGAGCACCGATTGGAGTGCATTGGTTTTGAAAGTAAGAAAGATTCGAAGTCAATGACCAAAATAGGGCGCACACTGAAGCGCACGCAAGCGCCATTTCTTTATAGAGTTTTGCTTTATAACAGTCGCTGCTGCAGACGCCAGCACGCGCAGCGCGTGTAGCTACACCCGCAGCATGTTCTTTGTTGCTTGGGTAATTTAACAAAAAGTCTACGACATGACGAAAAAAAATTACTGTGATTTGTTTATTACAAAAATACTACGGATCACCGAGCGCTCTTTCTCCGCCCAAATGAGCGTTGGCCCAAATGCAACGCTGCTAGCGGTGCGAACCAAACCAGCAGCTGCCAAAGTTTCACAACCAGGGGTTTCCCCAGGAATTGAAATTAGGGAGGGGGGGGGGGGGGGGGGGGGAGGACATTGAGAACAGAGGAGTTGTAGCGAATTAGGGGGTGCCTTCAGAAAAACGAGGGAAGAAGAAAGGTGTACACCCCCCTCAGGGAAATCACTGTTCACAACTAGCCGTTTCAGAACAGATCTCGTTCAAAAGCTTTTTCTTATTATTTCAAAAGTAAAATGGGGCCCATTTTTGCCCGTTTTCGGTCAATGGTGTCATTCAGCCCCCTGCATTCGAAAGCTCCGTCGACCGCCATTTTCCCTTTGAACATTTCAGAAAATCACTTATAACGTTTGAATGAGATAACGGTTAGTTGTGGAACGTCCGGTTCGGGCCGCTAGTGCTACATTTTGGCAGAGGATGAGCATTCCTTTGTTTTCCTTTTACAATACTCTCATCATCATTTGGAGATGCATGCCGTTAATTTTTGCGGTGAAAAAACACCCTGCAAATTATTTTCTGGGACACCCAATATACGTCAACATTCTTATCGTGACTCCTGACAATGTTGACCATAAGCGCGAGCATGGTGAAAGGCTCGTATGATGCAGTCGCTCTCGAGCATCTCAAGAAAAAAGCGTTATCAAAGTTGGAATCTTGCCTTGACAGTTTTTTTTTCTTTTTTTCTCGGAACTATCTCAGGGCATAGAACGATTGATTCAGCTTCGAACATGCCAGCGAGCGAGCGCCACGCTTTGAGCGAACGCGCTCTTGCATGAACGCGTTGTATCGGCACCAGCCCTGAATCGAAACTTAAAATATACCTCTGACGTTCAATCTGCTAATGACGATCGCACGGTTGTATTTTGAACAAATGGCTATATATATATATATATATATATATATGTGTAGATTAAAGACAATATTAATCTTAGTGAGTGGTCACTTTAGACCTAGGACCAAAACGACACAAGCCTTTTTTTTTTTCTGCGATGCCTAATTTTCGCAGCACCGAATCTGTCAACCTTTCGTGAAAACACCCTGTCTGTGTATATATATATATATATATATATATATATATATATATATATATATATACATGTGTGTGTGTGTATATATATATAGCTCATAACCAACTTTGCCCACGCTGGACCACGGTCCAGCGTGGGCTGGCGTGGTTATGAGCTCCGCCACTTGGGCGTCGTCAACGCGTTACGACCTGGCATTTTTTTAGTTGCCCTTCCTCGCTACCCGAAAAAGTTGAATAGGCCGGGAGAGAAGGAATATTCGCTTCAACAAGGCGCGCGCGCATGCAGTTTGCCGCCGTACTTCCGCGGATCGGGGCTGCTGCATGTTAACTGCATAGCGACGTAACGGAATTCGGTTTACTCCTTTTAAACAATGTTTTGGTGTCTTTTCGAGCAAAAAATTAGTGTGTCCGTGGTGCGGCCAGAACGTGGTTGACATTTAGACAATAAAATAGGCGCTAGAATTTCGTTGCAGTCGGACTCTGCGGCTCCCCATTCGCCGTTTTTCTTGTGGACGCTACCACTTTTGGTTCTTGGTGTGCAGAGCGGGCACAAGGGGCAATAATTACGATTCGAAAATACGAGTTCCTGATCCTTGTGATACGGTGTAAGGAAACCCAGGCGTTATCGTTTTTGTACTGTCGTGGACTGTTTTAACTTTTTTATTTTTTTTTTCCAAAACTTAAAAGATTTTCTGCGATTTGAGATAAAGCTTTGAATAACTGGCAACAATGTTTTTAAGTACCAAAATGTTTCTAGGCCACGGTAAAAGTTATGGTCATGGCAGGTATGCACCCCCCCCCCCCCCCCTCCCCAAATCGCGTCAGTACAAAAACATTTTTTCACTATGGTATGAAACGTTCGATGTACCGCTTGTTGTCTTATAAGTGGAAGCTCCTCCCACCTCTTTCCACTTTAGCAGAGCGAAGGATGGAGAGGAGGTCGCCTCGTCTTCGGTGATCGCTCTGCTAAAGTGGAAAGGGGTGGGAGGAGCTTCCACTTCCTTCTTGACCTATCACCGACTATAGAGTCTTACCCGTAGCGTCGTCTCATCATCGTTTTTTTTTTCTTTTTTCTGCGCGTGTCCTAACTTGGCACACTGTCATCCGGGTGGTGTTACATACGTTGGAAGAGCACATTGTTTGTTTCTTTCTATTATGTGACGAATGCGTGTTCACCATGTGCTACCGTATATCCTTGTAAATAATCGCCCGTTGGGTGAAATACGAATAAACAATCTTACACGTAAAAAGCCGAGGATTGTGTGCCTCGTCTTCGGGGCTCAAAACAGAAACTCTAGTAACTATTCAGAGTGGTCGATCTGCGCAATTGGTGTTGTTCGACTTTCACTCTCCTCTGCGGTAGACACATACGTGGCTTGTACCAGTTTGGACAGAATAGAGAATACCCAAACAGTGTCTCATGTTTCTGTAAGGGTAGCAATGAAACGACACTTCCAAGTTGTCAAAGCATTTTTTTAACTTGGCCTCAAACTTTGCCCCCGTGACCAAGTCACAGGTAAGTATGACTGCCTCCTAAAATAATAATAATACTAACTCGTAAAATAATAATAACATAATGCTTTCGGTGTTACTTTTTGACATAATACACCGGCAGACACGAAAACAAGCAAAATAAGACTCCTCCCACGCCTTTCCACTTTAGCAAAGCGGATGCAGGACTCAGGAGAGGAAGTCACCGCCTCTCACGGATTTGCTCGGGGTGGGAGGGGTTGAAAGGGGGGTGGGAGAATGGCTACAAGCGGACACCCTGACGTCGTGTGACGTCACCGCGAAGTCACATGGCTTCACGATGTCCCCAGACGCGATGAGGTCACCATCAAGTCGCGCGACGCCATGACCTCACATCATGATCACCGTGAAGTCATGTTACACCACGTCGTCGTGTGACATGACACACATATAGCACGTGCCAAGCTCATCCGCAACACATTCTGTGTTCCCCAGTGTCAGCATGATTCAGCTAGTGTACATTATTTCCCCGACTGACAAGCCCAGATTATTAGTGCCGAGATGTTTCGGTGGCGCCCTCTTCTGGTTTCCATCCGTGACGTCACGACTGGGATTTGCCTCGCCGTGATGTCACCAGTTGTTATCCTGGCTACTTACCATCAGGTGCGACGACGAGTTCGGTGGTGTGTTTAAAAAGCACAGTGGAAGCTAGGAGCCATCGCAATCCGAAACTAACACCGTCAAAGTTGACAACCTGACAATGCTCATATGCCCATGGTTTGGCCAATCGTGGAACGCTGACCGCAGCGACGCTTTTGGTCGCGCACAATATTTGGCACACTACAGGGTGTGCCAAATATAAGATTTGTTTAAAAAAAGCCGTGAAAGCTACACTTATGCGGTATGTGCAGGTGATTTATACGGCCAAGAGGACATAGTATAGGGAGATAGTCGCAACTATTAGTGGGCTAATTAAGTAAAGGAATTAATTGACTTTTTAATTAGCGCAAATAGACATAGAGTTCCAATTAGAAACTCGCTGAGCATCATCCAAAACCACTAAATCAACTATCATTAGAACGATATAACGCCGGGGCAGCATTTTACGGCGTTCTGTAAAAACGCTTTCTTCGGACGCGTTTCTAGATTTCGGTTTCTTAGCGGAGCGCATCTTTGCGCCCGCGGTCCTGCTTCCTCGAAGTGGCCGCGCGAAGCCGCCCCCCTCGCCGAATGGGAAGTAGAGATGATGTGTGTTGCGCGTCTCAGCCACTAGGGAGCAGGATCGCGGGCGCGTAGATGCGCCCCGATAAGAAACCGAAATCTAGAAACGCGTCCTAAGAGCCGCGTCCCACTAGAGCGACAGACAGCAACAAACGACAGCGACACACGACAACGAGCGACAAACGTCACTGACAGACAGCCTGTTTGTCGGAGTCCGCCGTCCCACATGGCGGACACGACGCAGAACACGGGGCAAGGAAACTTGTTTCCTAGTGGGACTGGAGTTGTCAACAAAACGCTTCAAAATACACAGACAAACCGAGTCTGGCGACGCGGTTTTCGTGTTTTGCTTTTTGGACATAAAACGCGCCGACAAACACGGTGAAAGTGGAGACGATGACTTCATTTCTTGATTAAAGCTTTTGCTTCTCATCCTTTGCCGTTGGCGACTTTCCGTAAACAGTCGTGACAATCGACACGAAACTTTTTCTGAGCTTGAAATACCCGAATCGTCCCTTTTTTGGGCCGTTCGAGGCATTCTAGGCTACCTCGGCAAACCTCACTCATGAGGGCCCTCACTCACCCTCACTCACCCTCATCTTCACAGGTGAGGTGAGGGTGAGTGAGTTTCTGAACCAGGAAAATTCATGAGTGTGAGGGTGAGTGAGGGCCGTGAGGAGTGGTGAGGGCCGTGAAGGGCGTGAGGGCGGTGAGGGCTGTGAGGGCGGTGAGGACCGTGAGGGCCGTGAGGGCTGTGAGGGTGGTGAGGGCCGTGAGGGCGGTGAGGGCGGTGAGGGGTATGACGGCCATGAGTGCGTGAGGGCGGTGAGTGGCGTGAGGGCCATGAGTGCGTGAGTGGTGTGAGGGCGATGAGTGCGTAAGGGGTGTGAGGGCCGTGAATGCGGTGAGGGCCGTGAAGGTGGTGAGGGCCGTGAGGGTGGTGAGGGCCGTGAGGGCCATGAGTGCGTGAGGGCGGTGAGTGCGTGAGGCGCCCTTCAGATCGAGCCTCTTTCTCTGCAATTTTGGTGTTAATGGCGGGTTGTTCTCTAGCTTTCCCTAGATCGACACGAATTGCTGAGATCGGGTCCGACTCGAAATAAGCAAGCAACTCGGAGCAATTCGAATACGTTTGAAGCGGCTGCATCCAATCAGGGACGCAAAATTTTCACGCGATACCTCGTGCCGGTGATGATGACACCCAAAGACTTGGTTCTGGTTTGAAATCGATCGTATTTTTTTAAAATAAACTGTTTCAGAAAGGTGCATTAGTATTCTTAACGAGATTTAAATGCATAAAAACACGTTTATAACGCGTAATTGTGTCTAAATAGTGCAAGAAAAATAAAATTTTATGATGACGATGGCAAATTGCAGCAATTGGTTGCTGCGTGTGATCGCGGGCGGCCCGTGTTGCTGGTGTTGCGACGTAAAGTTTCTGGGCGAAATTGCCCCATCTGAAGCTGGCCTGAGTGGCGTGAGGGCCATGAGTGCGTGAGGGGCGTGAGGGGTGTGAGTGCCGCAAGGGCGGTGAAGGGCGTGAGGGCGGTGAGTGGCGTGAGGGCGGTGAGTGGCGTGAGGGCGGTGAGTGGCGTGAGGGCGGTGAGTGGCGCGAGGGCTATGAGTGCGTGAGGGCCGTGAGGACGGTGAGTGGCGTGAGGGCTATGAGTGCGTGAGGGCCGTGAGGGCGGTGAGGGCCGTGAGGGCGGTGAGTGGCGTGAGGGCGGTGAGTGGCGTGAGGGCCATGAGTGAGTGAGGAGCGTGAGGGCCGTGAGGGCGGTGAGGGCCGTGAGTGCGTGAGGGCCATGAGGTTCAGTGAGGGTGAGTGAAGGGCTGAAGGTGAGTGTGACTGTGAGGGTGAGGATGAGTGAGGGGCTGAAGGTGAGTGTAGCTGTGAGGGTGAGGGTGAGTGAAGGGCTTAGGTGAGTGTGGCTGTGAGGGTGAGTGAGGGCGACCTAAAACGCCGACCTCTGATTCTAGGTGAGCGCCACGGAGCTTCACGCTGATTTTGAAAATGTTTATAACTTCATATTCGAATGATCGGGGGCAGGCGCTCTTTGGAGGACAATACGGCATGCCGATTATCACAAAACGTGATGACAAGTCTCTCGTCTGCCGGAATGGCTTGCCGCGGAACGTCGTGTCCTAGTTCGTGGTGAGCGGTCTTTGGTCAGTCCTCGCACATGGGTGTATCCATCCTGATGCACGGGCGTAGTCTTCGGCTTCTTGAAGCACCACCTCGCGCACCAAGTTTTCGCGAGCAAAACCAGCCACAGCAAATTTCAGCACGACCGCCCGGCGCCAGCCAGCAAGCCGCGCCCGCGACAACTACGTTCAATCGAGGGACCGGAACTGCGGGGCCGGGAACGAGGAGTGGCCGCCAAGGGCCTCTCGTTCCGGGAGGAAGGGTAGAAGGGTGGGAAGGGAGGAAACGGAAGGTATAAACGGGCGAGGAGGATAAGTTTGTCTCCGAGAGATGTTCCTCAGTGGGACTGCTTGCTGCGGTTGAAGTCCAACGACAGACAAGAACTCGTCCGTTGTCGATCGTTTGTCGGCGCTTGTCGCGGGTGTCGGTCGTTGCAGTGGGACAGCATCGGCGACACAGAACTTTGTGGTGTCGTCGGACAAAACCGGTGTTTGTCACTCTAGTGGGACGAGGCTATAATAGAGCGTTTTTACAGAACGCCGCAAAATGCCGCCTTGGCATTATATCCTTCTAAAAAGGGTTGATTCAGTCGTTTTCGATGATGCTCAACAAGTTTATAATTGGAACTATGTGTCTATTTGTAATAACTAAAAAGTTAATTAACAAATTTACTTAATTAGCTGACTGATAGTTACGACTATCTCCCTATACTATGTCCCCCTGGCCTCACCTGCACAAACCGCACAAGCTTTCAAGGCTTTTTTTAAACAAATCTGAAAAAAAAAAAACTGTATTTTTTGCTGTTTCTACAAGAAATTAAAGGAATATGTACTGCTCTTCTTTTTTTTTTTTTGCTATGCTGTTTAAAAAGTTTTGGATACCACCTGACCGAAGCAGTGGCGTCAAGCATGGGAGTATCGAAGACACATGTATCTTCGATACATTTTGTGTATCGGTATTAGGTATCGCATTCCAGAAATGAATGTATCGGTATCGAAAACACATTTTTAGTGTATTATGTAATTTCACGATACTCGACACTCAGGGAAAAAAAGAAATAAAGATAGGGTGCAGATTTTGAAGTTGCTGCGAGTCGGACATTGGGCTAGCAGCGCTCGCCGAGGCGGTAGCACTCTGAAAAAAGGGATGGGGGCTATAGCGCTTGAAGGGAGAAGGGGGAGGTTTTGCGGCGGGTCCGCATTATGCCACATGCACCGTCTAGCTCGCCCTGTTGTGAAACACACACACACACTAAGAAAACAAGAGCAGCACGGCGATCACAGACGGGGTGGAGAGGTGGAAGATCGGGGAGGGGATATCTCCTCCTGTTGTAGACTTTCAGTCTTTTTATCTTTGTTGTTTTCCTTCTAGCTTTTAACGCAGGATGCTCAACTTCAAATGTCCGTTAAACACAGTCTGGGGAGCTTGTACATTTCAGCACAGGACAGACAAAAGCAGAGGCACCCCAGTAAATACTGCAGTAACAAGCGAAAAGTATCAGAAAAAGTTCCAAGTTTATTTGTGTGCATACTAGTCAAGTGCTCCAAGACAAGTTCGCATGAAGAACAATAGTTAAGAATATTTGCTGCGCTGCTCTTGGAAGCAATCTTTTAAACATCACCATGGCTTCAGTCCAATGCTGAAGTTCCAACGAATCCAGCTGCGCCAACAGCGGAGCCTAAAAAAATCCGGGAGGCCGGATTCGTTTAGGCCCTTTCAAGAACAGGTTGCTATATTGAATGCACTAAATGTTCCAGAAACCACAGATAAATGTCGTATTTTAGCTAATCATATTACAAGCTTTATTAATATTGGTGACTCCAGTGATGTATCAAAGTATCAACAATACAGTATTGAGAATCTGTATCGGAAATGAGTTTCTGCTCTGTATCTTGTATCAATACCAGAAATACAATTTTTGAGAGTATCAAGTATTGGTATCAAAGATACTTTTTTGAAGTACCGTGCCCAACTCCGAGTGGCATAGCCAAGAATTTTTTTTTGTGTGTGGGGGAGGGGGAGGGGGCAAAATACATCTGGTGAAGCCTCCCCCCCTGGCTATGCCAGTACCGTAGAATACCGCGCATCCGCCCATACCACACTAAGCGCCCATACCCAAATTTGTAAGATCTGAGAAAATACGCAGAGCACATTCATATGCAAAATTGATGACCGGACCAGTGCCCATCCCCCATTTTTTCGCGATTATCTCTAAATTTTTACTGTGCGCTCGCCCGGTATTTTATGGTATACTGAAGTGAAAGTGAGCATCAGCTACGTCCTGCAGGCTACTTTGTTTTTGGCTAAAGTGTCTATCTTTAGTTGGTACTCGTTTTTTGTTGTCCACACTATATTCTGTTACACATTGTGACGGACTGCATTGGACTCTACGAGCTATCCAAGCGAATTCAATGCTGCGTAAATGTTGCATGACCTTTGGGAACGGCAAAGCGACACACGAGGCGCGCAAGTCATGTGATACGTTCCCAGAGTTGGATTGGCTGAGAAGGAGCATCCGCAGCGGTCCATCGTAAGGCGAAACGGAAAAAAGTGCTGCTTCACAATCTGCGAGTCACAGGCAGACATTGTGAAGTTACGAGTCCCTTTCCCACAAAGTGAGCTAAAACTGAAGACTTTGCCCATCGACTGGATCAAAGAATAAAAGAATAAAAAGGGAGCAAAAGCAAACGAAGCTCGAGCAAGGCTGATACTTTTATTTTCTCAAAAGCAGTTGAAGTTTGAGGCCTTAACAAATGATGCCAGAAACTCTGACCAACGAGTGGAAAAGAATGAGCAAAGGTGTCTTCCCAGGGAGACTGTGCAAAGAGCTCGCAAGGACATTAAAACAATAAAAACCTTTAAGATGACTGTGCCAGCAGGTCCCCAAGCTCGGCGTGTTGTCGAGCGATGAGACAATACGGTTATAGACGAAGTCGGAGACGGACATCATTTGGGGCACGTCCAAGGGAGTTGCGCCGCAGGCCCCCAGAGAACCAACATGGGCAAGCTACATCTTGAAGACGTTCCGGTAGGCGACGGCTGTGTCCACGGAATGGACGCTCGTAGAGAAGCTCTTGAGGTGCACCATCTCAGCGTCCTCGATGAGCAACGGCGACGAGTCTGCCCACTTCTGCGGGAGGTCTGAGTCCTTGTTGGTGTAGATGAGCAGGTCGAACGCACCTGTGGAAACAAGCCACCAATCCTCATCACTGCCCACCTTAAAGGGGCACTAAAGTGATTTTTAAGATCCTCGTTTTATTGTTATAACTCAATGTATGAGCACTAAGCATCCTAAAAAACCCTGAAATTGCATTCATGCACGGCCGATTTGCATACCCTTGAGTACCTTGGACGAGCTGAGCTCGTCGGCCGCTTTCTGACTAAAAATGTTGTGGACGAGCTCAGCTCGTCCAGTGGTTTTTTCGGTAGCCCTCAATTCCACGGACGAGCTAGGCTCATCTGAGTAGTTTTGCGGTGCTGATCATAGATGGCAGCACTCGTTTTAGTTGGCAAATATTTTTTTCGCCTCCGCTGATTTTTGCGTAATAAACTTTTCAAATTTTATGTGTAATACTAGAGGAATAACAATTCAAAATAAAAAAAAATATGCCACTTTTAGGTTACTTTTGGAAAAAAAAACAATTGGCACTTAAGGTATTAAAAAGGGATAAAAGATCTTGACACTCTCAGTTTGCACAGGCCGACAGATGGCGCTATCGAACCTTGCCGAATACGGTTGAATGACAAATGGCACCTGTCAGCCACTCGTGAGCGATAAGTTCTCACGTGGCCTGGTTGACCGCTCGTCCACGCAGGAACCCATCGCTTGCGAGTGGCTGACAAGCACCATCGGTCATTCGACCATACTCAGCAAGGTTCGGTAGCACCGTCTGTAGTTCTACGCCAATAATAAGTGTCTGGAACTTTGATCACTTTTTTAATATGCACATCAGCCCTCGCATGAATGCGATTTCGTGTTTCTTGGAAGTTTAGAGCTTGAAGATTGAATTGTGATCGTAAAACGAGCATCTCGAAAAGCACTTTAGTGCCCCTTTCACCTGTTCGCTACCAAAGCCGGTGAATCGCCTGGCGTGCCATCAGGGGCCATATTGCTAAAACCGGCGATTCGCCGGGCTGCATAAATTTGTTTTAAAAATGCATTCATAGTTGGCGCGCTATGTAGACGGGTTAGTGTGGTTAGATACATTGCCAACAGATGGCGAGAGTCATTCTGTTTGCTGCATTTGTTTGAGCTTGTTCTTTTGTGTGTCGTCTTTCCTGCTCGATCGCTGCCTGCTTGGAGAAGAACGCACCGTCGAGTGTATGGCATGGCCTTTCTGATTATGAAATCATATATACCCTCTTCGACAGAGATGATGACGGGACGTGTGGTGAAGATAGTGGTCTTCGGAGCCTTTTGTTGACGACGGGACCGATTCCGACAGCAATTCTGAGTCCGAATCACGAAAAGATAGCCCTGGCTGGTTAACGCCTAAGCGACCGAGGATGAAGTGCTTCAAGGTCTTTCATACGAGGAAGAATCTGTGAGGGCCTAGTGATTTGTACACTTGAACAAATCACTTAAGCATGTAACTAAACATCTTTTCTTGTTTTCTGCATGAATTTTTACTGTAGAAGCTTATTATACAAGCAAACAGTCACACCTAGTGTGGCCCTATTTTAGGGGTAGCCAATGGGTTGACTCTCCTAACAAGATATAAAGGTGGTAAAAACTGGCACAAAGAACTACAATCTTGGTTATCTTCACTCGTTTTAGGCTGGCCATGAACCAGAGGCACATAAAGGTCCGTTCACACACTTGCATGAAGGAGTTCTTACAATCTCTTACGACGAGAGAACATGCTGGCACACCCGTGCCATCTGTGTGGTGACCCCAGAACTGCATTTTGCTACAGCGAAGGTTTTGTGGCATTTGCGAGATTGAATGTATCTACTAAATGAAATGGTTGTGTTTAACATTGCCAGAAGTTTTTTAAACTCAAAAAGAAAGAATGATGCTTGAAAAATATAGAGGAAATATACAGAAATACCAAGTGTTCCATGGCCACCCAATAGATGGTGCCAGTTGTGTTCTCTCATTGTAGGAGATTTTAAAAGGTTTAAAGGACACGATCGCAAGCAGTTGCAAGGTTCTGAACAGGCCTTTAAGACTGTTTTGCTCAGATTTCGAGTCTCAAAAGCCATTTATAGGCAGCTCGAGTGTGAACTCTTCTTGGAAAAACTTAAATATACCTTCAGAATGACCTCTCGCCTGACTCGGAAGCTTCCTAAAAGTAGTAATCGAATTTAATGGAAGTAGAAAAAAAAAAACTATAAATGTGTTATTGTTATGCCAATATGGTGAAAGACACCTGCCAGTGGCCAAGGTTCCAGCAACCTCTGTGTCAGCGCTCTCGGATATATATATATTTTTTTTTCGGTTGTTTGATTGCAAACATGAACAACATTAGAGCCTGCATGAAAAGGAGCTATAAGGCAGCCACCCAGAAGCATGCAGTTTCATGCAAAAATCTCTTGCAGTAGAGTTCCCAAAACATGACAAATTAATCAAAATGAATCTATTTAATGTATCTTGCATTATAATGAATTGACCTTAGAAATTCCATGTTCTTTCTTTTTCATCGGAGCAATGCCTGCCATATTGGAACCACTCGCTGTTAACGAATATTGATATAAGCTTTACTCCATTGTTGTCACAACTATCTTGCTATTCTGCATATCCAGTGTTATAACAGAGCTACGGGAGGAATGCACATCACTTCTCGGCAATGTCATAATCATAATAATGAGGTGTAACAAAAGCCTACTTACAGGCTATCTCCAGGATAGGAAGATAGGTTACGCTGGCCACAATCTGTCTGATGACGCTCTTAATCTCATTCTGAATGTCGCTGATTTCTTTCTTCTTTGGCTGGCTAAAAAGTGTACAAGTAAACATTTGCAATCAGATAGCAATAAAAAAAGTTGAAAGTGGGTTGCATATAGCTTTGTACACAGACTGCGTCTCACTCAGTAATCAAAGTCTCGTTCAGAGTGTTGTAGAAGTCTACATATCGACGCAGGACGGCAACGTCGGTCTTCATCATATTACTAGGGGAGTACCACAAGGAGGCGTCCTCACCCCGATGCTTTTTAGTCATTTCTCTCATAGGTCTCCTGAAAATTCTCCCAAAAACCGTTCACGTGTCTATATACGCGGATGATATCTGCTTTTGGACTTGCAGTAGATCTCTGTACATCAACAAAGCAAGACTACAAAAAGCCATTAACATTACCGCATGGTACCTACACCTCCGAGGTCTGCACATATCGCCGGACATGTCAGCGGCGATGGCATTTACAAAAGAACACACGGACAAATACCCAATTGAAATAGACGGAAAGGAAATTCTATATGTCACCGAACATACTTTCCTGGGTGTCACTCTCGATAAGCAGCTGACCTGGAGCCCCCATGTAAAACACCTTAAAAAGAAGCTCTCCTATTTCATCAATATAATCAAGATGATTAGCGGAACCAAATGGGGATGCTCTGTCTCCGCACTCCTTGCCCTTTATAATGCTTTATTTCTCGGACTTCTGCGCTACAGCCAGCCTGCTATGCATAACATCACCCATCCTCTTCTAAAGGAACTCGAGAGTATTCAAGCACAAGCTTTTCGCAAAATGTTTAGGGCTTCCTAAAGGCACTTCTAATTTGGGATCTCTTGCGGAAGCACAAGCGATTTCTCCAGCCGTTTTAAGAATGCAAGAAACGTTAAGGGCCCATCTTCGTCACAAATCTCACACATATAAGCATCACCTTTCTGTGGTGCCGCAACCCTCCAGGGTTGAATAAAGATACTATTACTATTACTATTACCTCACAAATATTGTAACAGAAAGACCATCATCTGGCTTAGCACAAGTTATCACACTCTTGGAGGATTACATCCCAACTTCTTTTGAAGCTGCGGTAATTCCAAGCTATCCACCATGGAGGTACCCTCACTTAGAAATAAGAATGAGTATTCCGGGAATCGCTTCGAAGAAAACAATGCCCGCCCCCGTGATTACGCAGACAGTGCTGGAATACATAAACCAAACTTATGCCTCATTTAGACATGTCTTCACCAACGGATCTACAATGTCAGCATCATCAACCTTGGGAGCCTATATTCCGTCTCTGGACGCATGCATACAACCAAGGTTGAGCCGCGTTACGTCGTCAACAGAGTCGGAACTCGCAGCAATTCGAGCAGCTGTTGCACACGTGGGAGCCGAGAGTCCTATAGTTTTTGGGCTATCTTTGTGGACTCTAAAACTGCTCTACACACCCACTGTACGACGAAGAAATGTAGCTTGAACTTGCAACTCGCACATGATATTCTGGAAGCAGCTCGCCAAGCTTCATGCAAAGGGCACCAGTTTATTATACAGTGGATTCCTAGTCACTCTGGTATAACCGGAAATGTTATCGCTGACAGAGCCGCCCGAAACGCTCATGAGAGCGCTATTACTGTGTCAATCCCATTATCTAAATCAGATGCAAATAACTTAATTAGAGATATTGGCCAAGAAATAGCATCTTTCCTTTGGAGAAATCCTCAATATCATTATTCCTATCTTTACAATATCGACCCCAAACAGATTTCGGGCACCTCGAGGACTACCAAGGGCAGCCGAGACGGTCCTACATCGCTTGCGACTGAATGTGGCATATACCAACAGCTACCTTTATAAAATTGGTAGAGCTAAGTCTTCTGATTGTGCTTCGTGCGGAGTCACCCATAACATCGAACATGTATTGTGTGAATGCAAGGACTACAGCCGTGAAAGGGAGCTTATGAAGACAGACCTGAGGCTACAAAATGAACAAGACGTAAGCATTCATACTCTGCTTAGTCCATGGATCTCTGCTGCTGAGGGGTATAAAGCTACGAAAGCTCTGCTGAAATTTCTAGCAGCTACTCGCTTACAGAAGAAACTGTAGGGGAGTAGATGAAGAGCAATGGCCAATGACAATTTCCAGTAAAACATTTTCGTTAGTTTTTTTTTTTTTTTTTAGTTTTTAGTATTTTGGTTTTGTGTTTTCTCCCTCTATCTTTTTCTGTTTACCTTTCTCTCTTCTATTTTTATGATTTTCGCTTCCGTTCATTTCACAATGTAGCAAACCAGCACCAGGCACTGGTTGACATTATTGTTTAATAAATGCCTACCTCTCTTTCTCTTTTCTTTTTTTTACCTACAAACATGCGTCACGGCCTTCGACCTATATCGGGAGTAGGTACTATCTTAATCACAGTTAGCGGGAACATGGAAGTGTGTGCCATCGGGTACTATCGGAGCACTTTTTTTACGCCGACGCTCAACTGCAGCACATCCGCAACGTTGCAGTTGCGCACCCGGCCGTTAGAGTGCTCCGATAGTAGCCAATGCCACGCGCTCTCCTGTTCCCGCTAACTGTAATTAAGACAGTATAGCCTGTTGCAACCTATGAACGAATGGCGAGGGTAAGATGGGCCAGGGAGGAGGAAGCAGACGGAATGCTGGAGAAGAGAGGGGGAAACCTCCTCTCCTTAGCGTCCCGTCTGCTTCCTCCTCCCCGGCCCGTCTTACTCTTGCCCTTTCTTCTTGAGTTGCAACGGACTATACACTCCGTGCAACGCGACTGGCGCGCCGCCGCGCGGCCGGTACCGAAGGTAGGCAGTGAGAACCCCAGAGAAAACGAAACCGAAACCAAGCCGCGTACGTTGGTACGCATTGAAGTCGGAGTGGTGCGGTTGCGCTGGGTGCAGCAGCATGAAGTGCTTGCTGCCTGTACTGCGTCATTAAGTGCTTCAATAGTTATGCGTCGCATCTCGTGGAGACAAAGTTTCACAGTTTTTCATCTCGCCGATGTTTTGTGGAAAATGGACAACGATGGAGCCGTGCCGTACGACGCTAGAAATTTGGTCTCCCGATCATGTCTGCCACTGTGTCGGCACGGCTGACATATTCTAGCTACACTGCCGCTTTGCGCTCTGCGTTTGTTTTCGTACCAGTAACGCCTACATTTGTTAGCGCCGATGGGACGAACTGAAACGCCATCCCACACTCGCGGGTATGCAGTGCCAATTGCGTTGGAGGAATGCCCTCCAAAGAAGTTTCGTCCCCATCGTCCGTGTCGATGATATTTCCGAACAAGCATGACACGCAATCTGTACTTCATGAAGAAAGATTCGAACGGTAAAAAAAGTGACAAATATGAATATAAAGAAAACAACAATGAAACTCGGAACCACTGGAGAATCGACGTTAGAGTATGGAAGTTTATGTGGTGTGCTTTCTTTCTTGATCAGCCTCCTTTTGGATGTGGAAACGCTGACACCCCGAGTTCTGTAGACAACAATTTTTTTTTCTCGGCTTTAGAGCCACCTATTGCAAAGTGGTTCGAACTGGAATTACCGTCCACTGGTCCCTTCCTACTTGTAAAGTGTGCACCTCCCACGATGAGTGGTATTATCTGACAGCCTTTGACGGTCAAAGTCAGTTCCCATTTAGTTACGCCGCCCAAACTAAATTTCCACCTGGTTTCGCTATGCCAACTCTTTTTGTTATAATAAGTGTTGTGCCAAGTGACGGTCATGTCAAAGTACCTGTGCGCCGAAAATCAGCACCTCGCACAACAGGTTATTACACAACAGCAGGCCGCAAAAGCCCTTGGCGGGCAAACCGTGTTTTGGCCGACAACTTTGTTTTCTCGGCTTTGGAACCAGCTTTCGTAAAGTTGTTTCAATTGGAAGTACAGTCCACTAGTCCCTTCCTACCTCTAAAGTCTCCACCTCCCCCGACCAGTGATATTCTCTTGACAACCTTTTCATGGTCCAAACCGGTTCCCATTGAGTTACGCCGCCCAAACCAAATTTTCACCTGGTTTCCCTATGCCACCTTTTTTTTTTTTGTATAATAAGTGCTGTGTCATGTTACTTTCAAGACCAAGCACCTGTGTGCCCAAATCTGCGCTTTACACAGCCCGCTATAACACAACATTTTGGGTCGAATATTGGATATCCCGTACAGCTTTATTTCTTTATTCATTAGAAACCTAACTTTCATACCTGTTGTCTTAAAGAAACTTGGCACTCTTCGTGCACAAACTTAGTGAACATCTCACTCGCCTCCAAATATCATCGTTCCAGCAGTCCTAGGTTTACAGCGACGAGCGAAATAAATTTCCCACCCAGAGCAATCAAGGTGGCGGCCGTCTTGTTTTTCGGAAAATTGCTCCAACTCCTTTTTTCGGCCGCAACTAGAGAAATTACCCCTAATAACGACTCAAACTCAATTTATAAGAAGTGGAGAACAGCTAGAAGCCCTTTTTAGGTCTACCCCAGTACTCATGCAACGTCACCCTCAACTTATCGGCTCAAAAAGCAAAAGTTCCGTCCGTGCGCGCTTCCGCCGCCACAGCTTGGCATGCGAAAAGGCGCCGCAGGCTGCTGAACGCGCCTCACAGTCGAACGCCAGCTCCTCCGCTAGCGGCGCTGCGCGCGTTTTTCAAAGCGCCCCCTATAGTTCCCGCACGGAGTGTATAGTTTGGGAGCTATTCCCACTACCTGCTCAGGCCTACCTCTGCTGCCCTCCGTAGACCACACCATGAGTGTCATATTACTTGAAAGTGGAAGAATTAACTTTGTTCGCTTGCTCACATTATAGAACATTCGGTGCAAAACGTGGGTGGTCTATCTTCCGGGATATCAAAACACATCTGCATCGACAAAACAAAATAGCGTTCAATGACGATGGAAGTGACCGAGAATAGATAAGAAAACTCGCTATACGTGCCTCTCGTCAGTCATTTCGTCGTCCGTTTGAATGCGGAACTCCCACCTCTCTAGGGTCTCCTTTGTGTCGACGCTCGATATGACCAACACCACCTGGTGCACCATCTTCGCTTCGAGCCAACCTGAAAACAGAGTGAGATGAAAACAGCACAAAAAGGGATGGGACAAGTCAAAGAAACATACATACCAGGCACTGACTTACAACCAAGTTCAATAGGTTAAAGAACAAAAATAAACACACACACAAACTTGCAAAAACACTAACATACTGATGGACGGATGAATAGGGGCAAAAAATAGGGAATAGGAAAATGAACAGAAAAAACAACACAAACTTGCAAAAAAAAAAAAAAAAAAAAAAACGGAGCAATGAACACCCCACCTTTGAGCTGCGACAGCACGGTGTCCAAATACTTTTGCAGAGGCTTGTCCGACGTCATCAGGATGCTTAAACCGTATTTTTGAGCTTTGGTGAACATCTCGGGAGGGTAGACGCCCCTCTGGTACAAAATGCTGTTGATCCCATAGTCTGCACAGAACGAACACCGAGACTCCAGAACAGCTCTGAAACGCGTTGTTATGAGGGCACTACAGTAAAACCTCCCTTACTCGGACGTTCAGGGTCGCAATTTCAGTCTGAGTTTGAGATTAACCGAGTTTAGGAAGTCTGAGTTTAGGAAGTCTGGCTCGGAATATCTCGTTACACAAAGTTGTGGTTTCAGATTTTCGACTTTGACAGAACGCGAAACTAGGCGGGTGTTGATTGTTTGTGAGCATCGTCTCTTGTCCCAGTTAGTTCGAGTTCACAAAAGTTACAAATAAACTACGTGCCAACCCGCAAAGGTCTTTGCAAGCTGGTGGAACTTATTTTTGGCTATCACATGATGCAAACAAGTGTAGGGTAGTTGGAGCGATCTAAACTTTCTAGTCCTGACACGCGCTGATATAGGTAAACTTTCAAGAATATTTCTACCATCATAATAAAGTCAGGCAAGGAACGAAAGCTACTTACTAAAGAACTCTGTCACAATCTGGGCGGATCCCTTGAGAGTAATCAAATTTTGTGTGGCAACTGCTGTTTTGGACATTTTGAAATTTTAACGGGACGCTTTTCGTTACTTTTTGTCTTTTTGTTTTCCCGCAAAACGTTTTATGACGATGTCGCTGCGACGGACTGACTGACCGGACTGACCCGTTGCTGCATTTCCAAACAATTAAGTTTACTAAAAATAAAGCGGAAATAAATATTTTAATTTTTTGTTTATAAAGTATTTTGTTAATAATTAACCGAAACGTTGCTTTAAATACGCTAGATGAATTTTTTTGTCCTTATACGAGCTTGCGGCGCATGCTCATTTCAAACAAGAGAACTTCTCTGTGCATCTGTGCAATCTGCAATGTACGAGGAGTGACGGGAAGTATCGAATTATCGGAGAATCAAACCCTGTTCTCCTGTTCCGTGTTCGTGGTGTGTTCGGTTGAAATGAAACGTGAGTTGTGCACCCTCTTGGTCCGCTTCGACGAGTCTCAGCGTCGGTGAGCGAACCCCACCGCCCCTCGCACCGGTCCGAAAATGCCGATCTCGGACGACGCCGTCGTTTCCTACCGCCAGAAGTACAGGAACCTCAAGCGAAAGCTCAAATTCCTGCTCTACGAGAACGAATGCTTCCAAGAGGAGTTGCGAAAGGCGCAGCGGAAGCTGCTCAAGGTAACCAGGGACAAGAGCTTCCTCCTCGATCAGATCCTGCAGTACGAGTCCATCGACTCGTCGTCGAGCGACTCGGACGCTACCGTGTCTAGTGACAGCGAACCCGAGCACCGAATCGAGCCACCCACGCCCGTGATCAAGAAAAAGAAGCCGGCTGTGAGTAACGACGTTCCCCTGTTGCACCATGTGCCCGTAGCAGCGGCAGCAACGGCGTCCGCCACGGCGGCTGCAACGGCTGCGTCAATAGCGCCGTGCGTCGCGTCCTGTTCGGTAACACTCAAAACGGAAATGCCAGCAGTAGCAGCCGTTGCCGCTAGCAGCAGCAGCAGCAGCAGTACGGGGTCCCTCGGAATCCTTTCCGCAGTCTCCGCCAACCCCAAATCGACGGTCCCAGTGGCGGCGCCCGTCTCGCTTAATCCGACGTTAGAAAAAAAGAAAAAAGTTGCGCGAACCCCAAAACCCATTGCGCATGCGCAGGCAGCGCCGCTGCAACTTCAACCGCAGCTGCAACCCCAGCCGCAACCACAGATACAGCAACAAACTCAGCTGGTGCAGCAGCCGCAACAACAACAGCAAACAACAACAAAACTCCAGCAGCAGCAGCAACAACAGCAAGAACAACAACAACAGCAGCAACAACGACAACAACAGCAACAACAACAACAACAACAGCAGCAGCAACAACAGCAGCAGCAACAACAGCAGCAGCAACAGCAACAGCAACAGCAGCAGCAACAGCAACAGCAGCAGCAACAGCAGCAACACCAACAGCAGCAGCAGCAGCAGCAACACCAGCAGCAGCAGCAGCAGCAACCATCACAAAAACTGTCGCAGCAGCTGTCGACGCAACCTCAGCAGCCGTCCAAACCGCTGTTGACGGCGAGTAGCATCCAGAAACGGATAATGGAAGCGAACGAGACGCTCATTGTGGGACGGCTGGACGGTCACATGACTTCGGAGGAGGTGGAGAGACACCTGGAGGCACGTCAGGCGCTGCGGGACCTGCTGCCGGAAAAGGCTCCGCTCACCGTTCCGGCCGAACTCTTCAGCAACGAGCCGCCCGGGGACCTGTTGGACGGTGGCTTGCTCGGGAACCACCCGTCGGAAAGGGTACTCGCCGTCTGCGTTCCGGAGGGCACCTCTGTGGTGGACGACGAGGGACTCGCGATTGACCTGCCAGAGTGACTCCGACCGCTCGCAGCGCGGCTACTTCTCAAGGACAAACTCTTTATAATATTGCGTTGTTGCGGTCGATTCGCAATGATCATAATAAACGTGCGGAAGGGACATTTTCTCGCCCTCCCCCCTTCCCCATACGACTTGCTGCGACTTTTGACGATCGTCAATCATTGCTCTTTGTGATATGGGTATGAACTACATCTTTGTAGGCTGGCGAAAGAGGAACAATTATGTTTTCTCAATGAGTGCGAGTGACATTTCTAGTATCGGGTGAATTCCCGCGCTCCGCTTGTTCTCTGCCTCATTCGTGTGCAGTATAGCATGGTTGTAAGCGAGGAGTTTTGCGAGTATCCAACAGATGTGTAGCTATCACGGGAAGTTGCGGCTGGTCGTTAGGCCCGTGCAGCTGCTCGCATTTTAACGAAACAGTCCACGTTGGTGACTGCGCAGGCATCTGTGAATCCTACATCGCAGTGTTATCAGAATTCTCCATACCCTTTGGCCAATGACGACAGTTAACTCCATGGTTGGGGTCGAAGAATTGTAGTAAAAGAAATAAGCTGCTTTTGGAGCAATCCTTATTTCACCCTTTATGTACCGAATTAAGGTGCTTAAATGCACTTTTAATATCGGTCTATGAAGATGCACAAATTTCAGACGCAAAAAGTCTTATTTTTTTACTCCGACGACCAGATCTTGGAAGAACTACTGTGCGCAGCATAAGGAACTACGCATGAAGCTTGTTCTTTTCCTCGAGGTAGCAAAGAGTAAAGTCTCTGGGCAATTCGTAACAGTGACCATCATTCGCCAGCTCACTTGTATTTTGTCCTCATTTTCTGCTTTTGTACCTTCGAGATCACTCGGGGGGGGGGGGGGGAAAAGACATTTCGTTATGATGATAGTGCAATTAATGCAAAGGTGCAAGCGAGCTGGACAAGAATGACAATAGTAATCCCTGAAGATGGGGAACAAAAGACAAACACAAATCTCCAAACACAGCTAAATGACTGGTGCGCGACCTAAAGAATCCGCCTGGTCCTGGTATAGACCAGAGACCCTGGTTCGATACCAGGACCAGGCAGATTTTTTCAGTCACGCACCAGTCGTTCTGTCCAGCTCCACCAGCTGTACTAGCCACCAGTCAGCTGTGTTTGGAGATTTGTGTTTGTCCTTTGTTCCCCTTCATCAGGGATTATTATCGTCATTCTTGTCCAGCTCGCTTGCACCTTTGCACCCTTGTTGTTGTCAAGACTGGTGGCAGCTGATAAAACTTGTTTGCTCTACCGACGTCTCTCCTGGGGCCCTAATCTGGACACTTGGCGAGAAAGACGGCGAGAAATCTGACTGCGCCGATTGGCCGGCGCCAAGGTCAAGTGCGGCGTCGGCCAATCACAGTCGCCAGATTTCTCGCCGACTTTTTCGCCAAATGTCCAGATTAGTGCCCCTGGTTAGCTCAGTTGGTAAAGCGCTCCACTGAAAATGGAGAGGTCCCTGGTTCGATTCTAGGACCAGGTGGATTTTCGGTCGCACACCAGTCACCTAGTTGTGTTTAGAGATTTGTGTTTGTCCCCTTCTCCAGGGATTGTCGTCACATTTGGTTAATGAAGTCTATTTTAGTATTGAGAATGTTTGGTACGGACCAACGTTGCTAGATTACCTCAGTCGTGGAGTTCCCGTGGAAGGGGGTACCCCCTCCTCACTTCAGTCCCCCCTCCCGTTGGAAGCGCCATAAAGATTTTCGTTTACTAATTGTGCGTTCCATAGAGTTTGATAGAACACCATCTAGACACTGAGCTTTGAAACATACGTATCCCATAGAATACACTGGTTACCAAAGCAGCCGTCCGGCAGATCGGACGACGGGAAGCAAGTTGTGGCGAGCAAGGGTGTTACTGCACGTGCATGCAGCGTGTATGAGCAGTTCCGCAACTGAGCTAATCTAATAACGTTGGTAGGGGCAAAAACTTGTTTGCTGTTGTAATAAATCTAAACTAGTTTGCATGTAGTCCGGTTAGCATGTCAGCTGAAGCTAAACACTGAGGCACCCTAGCGACATTGGTGCCAATGCTGGAACAGATTGTTTATTTGAGAATTTTTTCTTGGTTGTTCCACTGATTTAATGCTGCTTTAATTTGGACAGTCAAAACCGAATTTCATACAGCTTTTTTACAGCAGAGCTGTTAAGGGCTAGTTTCCCTAGTATCGTGTCCGTGGACAAACAGATGTCGAAACAGAACTCTGGACAGTTACCGCAGTCCACAAGCGACAGCGGCAACCTTTCCAGCCTTTCCACTCTAGCTTGCCGACCCGCGGCCGGCCATTACTTCATTTCCACCATAGTACAGCTTCGCTGGTCTTCCTTCTTCACCAAAATGAAAAGGCTAAAAGTTTTATTTTTCTGTGCTTACAAGGTTATTCATTTAATTTAAATCTTGAGCTTATTTTCTCCCAATAGTTGATATATTGTTAAAAAAGAGAGGTTTTTGAAGTTGAGATGATTAATTTTATTCTTGAAGCTTCAAAGGAGTTCTTATTGTGCCTCTATCGCTTGAAACAGAGGCTGAGTCAGACAATCCAGGTTACCTATAGAAACATTTATTGTAAAAACACAGGAGCTGTCCAGACAGTTGCATTGTGCAGATTCTATAAATCTGTAGATGTATCAAACATAGAAAATGCAAGCTACCCAAGGGGTCATTATTGCTGTGGCAACGTTTTGGCTGTGCACAAGTATGTGAAACAATGAACACATAACCACGCCTTGTTCCATGTACTGTACAAGCATGAAGCATCATAAAAAAACATTGTCATAACAAACAAAAAAAGATGGCACTTTCTGTTGAAGGAGATGGACAGAACAGTAAACAACACGGAATGCGACCAATGTAAACAGCTTTGGCATTTGATTTTGATGCTGAGTATCAAAAGAAAACCGCATCAATTTTCCAAGGCATACATTATAGGGATACACATGAAAAGGGTAAGTAGTGTGCAAGAAATCGGAGGGTTGTCAACATGTTTTACCCTAATCGGGACGATTTTCGCAGAATCCAGAAACTTGCCTGTCTTGATCTGACGCTTGCGCTGCACTTGCCGAAGAGTGTTAGGAACTTTAAAAACAGAAGCAGCGTAAAACTTTATTTTACTGCCTGTTCAGGTCAATGTTTACCTTGTTCAAAGATCACAGAGGAAAAAGACTAAAAATAGTAACACATCTTCAAAGCTGCAGATTGTTCGACCATACTAGAGAGACTATGTAAGGATGCAGCATTAAGAAGAAAGAAAGCAAAGCTGACTAGTTGAAAATAGCAGGGCTCAGATGGACTTGTAAGGTTCACTGTGAAACCATCGCTTGACTAAACAGCTCTTGAGCCGACGAAGAGACCTCCGAAACATCCTTTTCCAATGAATCTTCGGGGCAGTGAATGAAAAAGTAACACAGTGATAAACAGCAATGCAAACTAGAAATCGCTGGAAGCTAGATGGCATAAAAAAAATTGTAAAGAATGAGACCACTAGCACGTCAAACAGAACCTGCAAAGGAAAGGTTGGCCGAGTAGGTAAATCGGTGGTCGTCTGCAAAGCGTTGCACCAACTGCTTGGAGAGCCATGCCCATCGCGAGGTTCTATGAGCTCGGTTCCAATATCTGGCCGTCCATCGGGCACGCCCTCCGTCTTTGACCGAGCTGGGTTTCTTTGTCTTCACCGAATGCCCATTCGACGAGCGCAGGACTCAGTCGTTGATGCGGGTTCCACAGGGCCTTGTGAACTCCTGGCCTCGTTCGTGGAACCACTTGTTCGACACTGGAAATAGGGCGGCAAATTAAACACCGCTGCAACTCTCGAACGCCAGTTCAAACATTTCCGTCTGAATGTGACCAAGTGTATTCTGCTCGCTTGCGACCTCTTACGATGAGAGAAAGTGCTGCCACCCCACTTATCGGGTAGTGCCAAAACACTTGCAACCTGCAAATATATATATATACATATATTTTAAGGCAAAAGCCTTATATGTCCCATTACGCGAAAGGGCGTCGGTGTTGTCCCCGAAAGATGGCCATAAAAATATGTCATCATGCATGTGCCGCTCAAGGTCAAAGTGGACGTGCCTCAGAAATAAAACACAAAGAAAAGCCAACGCGGATGCTTCATCACGAAAGCTGTGAAGCTGGTGGGGGCGCTGCGCCTGCGCAGTGGGGGAGTGTGATGTTACCGCTGGACTATAATGCTTTCGCATTCCTACACGTAAGCACTTACCATATTTTAAGCTGTATAAGTCACATTTTTTTTTTTTCAAACATTTTTCTTGGTGCGCTTTATACAGCGATGCAACTTATATGCATTTTTTTAAAACTTCACAGTGCAACGCCTTTTGTTTTATGTGCCGCGCTCCATCTTTCGCAGAGCACCGTAACTATGTAGCCATAGGTGGTGTTTCTCCCTCCAGGAGGCACTGCTGTCGCCACTCTTCTACACTTTCCATAACTGATTCCGAAAGCAAGAAATTTTATAGTTTCCCCGAAGCAGCTCAATGTGAAAAGGCAAGACAGTTGAGAATAAAGCTTTTTACAGCATGTTACCGACGTTGCCTAATTCAGCCACGGTTCCATATTCTTTTGCTTCAGTCCAGTAACACTGAAAGGCTCAAAAGACTTCTCTATATTACTCTTGTTCGCCCTAAACTAGAATACACCTCATCTATCTGGCATCCCCACCATTCATTTCTCACCAGTGCATTAGAAGCAGTCCAAAACCATGCAGCTCGTTTCATTGTTTCTGATTACTCCCATTTTTCCAGTGTCACTGAAATGAAATCTCAATTCACCCTCCCCGACCTTTTTCTGCGTTGCAAAATTTCCAGGCTTTGCCTCCTGCATAAAGTGTATTATTCTCCCTCTTTAAATTAGTCTCTCCTTAGCCCACCCAACTACGTTTCTTCAAGGCTGGACCACACATGCAAGATTGCCCGACCCAAGACCATATCCAGCCCACCAGCATTCACTTCTACTTGAAACTATTATGGACTGGAATGGCCTTCCCGATAACACAGTCACCATCACAGATAACACCAACTTTTGCCTTGCACTAATCCAGCACTGCCCGTCTGTAACACCCCTCAAGGCCCTGAGGGTATTTGTAAATAAATAAATCAATAAATAAAAGTAAGTAGGCTGGTATACACGCATTACAGAATATTTTCTCGTGTCTTTCTTAATTTCTGTTTGACGAGCATTTTTTTTGTTGCCATGCTCCAGCCGTGTTGCTACATGTAAAAAGAAAGAATGCGCCCAGCCAATTTTTTAGAACTAACGAAAAAAAAAGTATGTCAAAAAGTATGTCAAGGTCTATCTTTCTGCCTGCGCATCGATGCTCGCCCTGTCGCCAGGACTGGGCCTAGGCAAGGCCTAGTGGTCCTAAATTTGGTTCACGAGTGTCTAGCTCGTTAAACTTTTGTTTGCTTGTCACGTGTTCGCTCAAATAAAGCTGACTACCCTCAGTTGCGCGTCAAACGGTACGTGCGATCAAGCCGACTGTGCGAAACTCTAATTTCGCAATACCGATAGGTGCAACTTATATACCAAGTTTTCCACAAAACCAGCTTAATACATGGATGTGCGACTTATAGTCCAAAAAATACGGCATGCGTCTTTGCCACACTAGTCCCATCCACCACGACAAAGGCGCTTGTGAAAGAAGCCGAGAAACTGCTCACCCCACTTTGAGCCCGCCAGGACTGGGCATGCGGCGTGCCTGGTCAGCATGTCTCCCTCCCCGCTCCGGTGAAGGTTGTACCAGAAAGCCGCTGCACCCTGTTTAGGAGTGGTTTAATTATGACAAAAAAAGTTATTTCGACGCCCTCTCGTGACTGCGATAACTAGAGTCGCCGAAGGTTTTGAAGCTGCGTATGGCTTACCTTCTCAGGCCAGAGGGTTAGCCGCAGCTGAGGAAAAACGGTGGCACCGCCGGCAGGGACGTCGCTCATCTGCCATATCAGCAAATTACGAACGTCGGTTCAGAAAACCAAAGCAGCATTATACTTTGTAAACTTTATACGCGAGCAAAAATGCTACTTAAGTACACACTGTTCAATTAATCTAGATTATAATTAAGATTGACTTTCATACACAGTCACAATCATGTTTAATAGAAGCAATGCGAAGCTTACTCTTGGCATAATTCAATCCCTTCCTGTGGGTTTTGTGCTAGTGCCAAGTTATCTGTCTTCTTTACGTCTCTCTACAGCTACGCTATACCTTCGGTTCACGTAAGCATGCGCAAGTGCTATTATGCTTAGTTTCGTTTTGTGTTAAAGTTAACCCCCGTGCTCCAGCTATGTGTGACTGTGACTAAGTTCGGAAGATGTAGCCAAATTTTAAACAAAAACAATTTAACTACAAGGAAGTTTCGACCAAGCAGACAAGTTCATCGTATGACCCTGTCTAATATCACTTTATGTGTGCAATAAAATTACAGGAGCAGGTTGCAAGAAATTTACAGCAAAGCAGAGGGTCAGGCTAAAGCTGAACATGTTTTTGAGCTTTTTTGTATATTGCAACCGGAACACAACACAGAGCTCAAAACGAACTCAACTCCTTCGTTTCGTTACACAGGGTGTCCCCCCAAGAAATGTTGTTTTTTATTCGCAAAAATAAACTATGCACCGTTGAATGCTCAGCATTCAACCAAATGAAGCACTAGCGGTTCAAACCAGACGCCAAAGTGTCAGAGATAACCATTGTCTTATTTAAAATTTATAATCTATTTTTGGAAATTTTCAATGGTAAAATGATGACGCACGAATCCCAGAAATACACGGGTCTAAACGGCACAAACTACTGCGGGCCTCATTTTCCCACTGAAAGTTTTATAAAAATCACCTCTAACCTTTGAATAACGTAACGGTTAGTTCTGAAACTTATACACTATACGTTTTTTGGGAGGACACGCTGTACTTTAGCTTGAGGTCAGCACCACACATGAAAGCTTCAATGGTAATGAAAATGCCAAGGTAAGTGCCAGGTTGAGTGAAATTATGTTAGTGCTTCGAGCAAGCATCATAATGACCACACCAGCCAGAAGCTTTGCGCACTGTTAGTGTTCACTCCGGATTATAAAATGATTAAATGTCTGCACAAGGCAACAGAAAACAGACTTAAAAAATCGATGTGATTTTAGAACTTAGTAATACGAAAAATGTGAACACTACCATGACTACGAGACTGATCCCTAATCTATGAAGTTAGACTTTATCTTCCTTGTTTCCTCAAGATATATGTGAGATATAGCTACTAGTATGTAATTGCACTGCTAACATGATCATTATAAACAAAGCCAGTCCTTCAGTTAGAATATAAAATGTTGTAAAACACTGTTACTTAAAATTATTACTAAGCTGGACTGGGAAATGCATAAGTAAAGCTATAAACAGCGCACACATTTTAAATAAAAATAAAAAGAAAGCATCTCATTTCAAAACTAAACTGGTGACATCTTGTTTATATGATGAGTGCAATTACTATGTTTCTTGCAATGCCTCTAAAATTGTGCTTTTGAGCAAAACACTCGAGTTACCCTTTAATTCTGCTGGCTGGTGTAGTCCTTGTGAGAGGAACGCAATGTGACTATTTCAAGAAAAAGCTGCTGCTGCTTACGTAGTTAAGCCACGTCGAAACTCTGTTCCCGTTCGACAAGTGTGGCGAGAGCTTTTGCTTCCCCTTCTTCAAACGAGAAAAGCAACAAATGGTAGAGTGGCTGAGTCCAGAGCTCCCCCAGTGCATGCCAGAAGCCATTAGTGCTTGCAAATTTCAAGGCCTTTGTTAGTCTGGAGTGCAGAACAGCCAACGTTTTGTACACATGCAGAAACACAAAAGTGGAATAAAACGTCAGAACCAAGTGTCTCTGGTTTGAGAATGAAGCAAGATGATGACATGTAACGGCTCTCAATAAGCGCTCACAAAAGGAAGCAGATACAATGAGCAACTAATCAGGGATCGTGAAATGGTGCTTACGTAATTCAGCCAAGTCGCAATCCTGTTTCCGGTGCCGAGGCTTTGAAAAGCATTTTTCTCTTCTCTCTGATGGCCGGTCATGCAAAATCAAAGGAAGAAAACAATGTTAGAGTTAAATATACCAAATATTCCCTGATAATCCTTCTCAAGCCAAGTACAGCCTTCAATGCTTTCAGCACAGACAAGGGTAAATAGTCGCTCACACTTCACTTGAGCAGCTTAGAAAAATATGTAAAATGTACAACTGCACTGGTGCACAGAACCTAAACCTGCATGATATATAAATGGGAAAGTGCCAATCATTCAGTCCTTGTGTTACACAATGCTTGGTGAACACACAACAGTGACTTTCTCTCTTGCTCGGTTGACTTTTAGGGCACAAATCTAGAAAAAGTTGCAGCGAGAACGCTGCGAGACTATTGAGGCCTTACCCTAGCAAAGTCAAAATGGGGCTCGTAGTGTCCTCCTATCCCGTAGTTAACGACTTGCAATTCCTCAGCAGTGTCTGCCGAAAGCCCGGTGATGTGTTCGATTCTTCGGGTCACACGGGCTATAACCCCATGCTCCTCGTTTCTGAGCCAAGCACTGCAAACAAAAAACGAGGCCGTCCTTCAGTCAGTTTCGGAGCTGGCAGTGTTCTAACACTCCTGTGATAACAACACATTTTCTGAAGCCGGTTCCTCCTCTTCCCTGAAGAACCATATATCTTCTTGCCCTCCCAATGAGCCCACTCTAACCACTACCACAGGGCAACCTTGCCCCTGCACCAGTCCGTCTCAGTACCTCACCAGTTGCGGTATATTCGGTCAAAATAATTTCTACACAAATAAATTACAACAGCGATATAGCCGCCTCTGCTGGGCACACAAACGAAAGACTGTTTTGAATCACTGTGCCAATCTCACCTTTTGCTGATCCTGTAGTTTGCCACCTCCAGCTCCCCCGACTTGTAGTTCTGCACTGTTGCCCTTTTCAGCTAGGAGTTTGAAGAAAGCAGTTTGTAAATTAGTGTGCACGTCCCCAGAGGCATTTTTTATTTGCCAGCAACCTTGTGAACACTGTGCAACAGGGTTTTCTCCTAAGCTCTAGAACCATAGCAATGAGCGTATATCTACTTATGTGTTTTAATGCGAGAGCACTAACTGCCCCATGGAGCAAGCCGACATCATCAATCGTGATCTGAGGCATCCCAGCTTTGAAGCTGTGCAAAAAGCCACGCAAAACGGCAGATAAACTCGTGAAGCTGCGATCTGAGGCATCCCAGCTTTGAAGCTGTGCAAAAAGCCACGCAAAACGGCAGATAAACTCGTGAAGCTGCGATCTGAGGCATCCCAGCTTTGAAGCTGCGCAAAAAGCCACGCAAAACAGAAGATAAATTTGTGAAGCCGCTATCTGAGACAAAGATGAAAGAGCGTGTTGGTGAAAATACAGGAGTCAAAGAAAGAATAAAAACACTTAGGGACCAGGACAGACAGCACAGTTCTTTCATGAAAGAACTGTGCTGTCTGTCCTTGTCCCTAAGTGTTTTTATTCTTTCTTTGACTCCCGCTATCTGAGGCATCACAGATTTGAAACGGTGCAAAAAAATCATGCAAAACGGCAAGTAAATGAAGCCGAAGGAGGCCGCCACGTGTCAATTTCAATTAGCGTCACCAGCAGGCTGCGTGCCCGTACCACCAGCACGCCGGCAAAAGGAATCAATTGGAGCGCTCGGGCGGTGGCACGGCCGCCCAAGCGTGCCAATAGATTCCTGCAGCCAATTCCGTGCTGCCGGATGAGCGGCGGCACGGCCGATCTCAGCGAGGTGCGGCAACTTCACGAGGACGCGCACAAGAACATCATTCATGCTTTCGCATTCACATACTCTTACGAAGTGCTTAGGTGTACCTCGAGCCCTTTTGCCAAGCATCTTGGGCATTTAGCAATTACCTACTGTAAAGTTCCGAAAGAACGCCCACCCAAAATAAAGAGATAAATGGTGAAAAACATAGGGTGGGCTATCTTTGGAAATGCCACAGCAAAATGTTATAAAGAATTAATAATAAAAACTGGGCCACCCGCTACAAACCACAACCACGTGACGCGGGAAATGATACTCCCGATCGTGAACACCGCAAATTTGAGGTTCACAATGCGATAAAAAGACGGGATTTTGTTAACGAGCTGCTGTGCCACAGGAAAGGATGCCACAGGTTGCAGCCGCAGCAGATTCACGTTTTACCATGAGAAGGACCCGCTGAAACTTGCCGAGAACTCGCTTTTCACAGGAACGAATATTGCAAATCGCGGACGCAGTAGATTCAAGTTTTATGATGCAATAAACACGCGGGAACCTGCTACAAACTTGCCTGTCACGGGAACCAATATTGCGCGTGCAGATCGCAGACAAAAGCACGGGAATCCGCTACAAACTTTCACCTCATGGGAACAGATACTGCAGATTGCGGATGCAGCAGATTTGCAATTCACAATGCAATATACACTCGGGAACAACTTGCGTATTAAGGGAGCCGATATTGCGAGCAGAGATCGCGGACAACAACGCGGGAACCTGCTATGAACTCACTTATCAGACGAATCGGTACAGCAAATAGCGTGGGGATGTGATTCCCGTCGGACATCGTGTGACGTCCGACGGGATTCGGGGGGGCTGGACGATGTTTCGGAATTTTTATTTTACAGATATTTAGCCAGAAAAATGGGATGGGCGATCTCTCGGGAAGGGGGGGAGGGGGGGGTTCTTTTGAAACTTTTTGGTAAAAGAAAATGTTGTCTAGTGCACTGCACACAAATCTGTAGCAGGCAGAAAAGCATTCAAGACAGCAACACACCTGCATAAATGAATATGCATGCAAAGAAAATTTCGCAACTTTTTGTTCACCATACTAAGTTGAAGTCATTAACCCCTTGCCTACTAATAACGAGTGTCACTTGTGCCGCCATTTACGGACCATAGAACTCGACCACAAGTGTGACTCGTGTTTCGGTTTCAGAGCTTGTTTTGTGAGCTCTGCGGCAGATGGCAGCACTACCCCTGTTGCTCCTGTTATGGTGGCTTACTCCTGTTTACCTTGGGTTCTTTTCTTGTTTGCTTTGCCTTTTGACAGAGAGAGGGCGCTCCATTGACAAAAAATAAGCGCGCTATTGTAAGCAAGCGCGCCAAAAACATGTCTTCGGCGCGGAGGTCTGCTTTGGCGGACGAAGATATACAAAGACTTCTTTTTCAAAGTGATGAATGCGCCAGTATTTCTGACGACGAATCCTGCTGCCTTTCCGATTACTCGGAATCCGATGAGAGTTCAACGGACAGTGAGAAAAGTGTTGAAAACGATGCGAATCCTGGAAGCATTTCATCGACTTCGGTGTCTGCACGTCAGTGGAACTGGGAGAAGAGGGACAACCAGCCTGCTCAGTTCACCTTTGTAGAAACCCCAGGTGTGTCAGCAAGGGTTCAACGCAGTCTTGGTGAGAAGACAAGCGCCTTGTCGACCTTTGACGTGTTTGCAAGTCATGATTTTTGGGCGTCTGTCTCTGCTGAGACAAATCGCTACGCCGAACAAGAGATGGGCGACGAGGATCGTCCCAAGAAATGCTATGAGGAGCAATGGTTTGACACCACTCCGGATGAGATAAAGGCATACTTTGCCTTGTGCATCATTATGACGCAAGTGAAAAAACACACAGTCAAAATGAGCTGGTCCAAGAGGTCCATAGTGGAGACCCCAATTTTCGGCAAAACAATGTCCTATGTGAGGTTTCTGCTAATCTCTCGATTTCTATCATACTGTGAAGAACTACTGAAGAAAAGGAGACGACCAGAAGTCCTGGTATAGAGCACGAGACTACGCCTGAAAGCCAAGGAAACATTTTTCTTTATTTTGACGCAAATTGCTTGATTTAAATAAAGCTTTCTGTACGATCTTCAAAGAAAAAAAATGAGTAGGCAAGGGGTTAACCACATTTCACAAAAATCACGTTTTTAACCACTGCACATGTTACAAGTTTATTTTTGTAATTCCTTATATATACTATAGAATTAAGGATGGCTACTGTAATGTCCCAAGTTATCGCCCACTCCCCTGCCGCCCGAAATTCATAAGAATAGGGGGTGGGCCATGTCTTGGTGGGTAAGCACAAAAAGTTTAGAAATTGCCAAAAAATGCCCATTTCTCTGTATGTATCTAGCGTGACTGCTTAAGTGATACATTAAACTCAGAACTCAAATTAGTTTCATTGTTTTATGCAAGAAATGCTCATGAAAGAATGTTTTACTATCGCAAAGCTCGTTGCCTGCATACACGCGAGGAACACCGCCGATTGGCATACAGCATGGATGTTTGTTCCACAAAAGCATGTTTTCAATGCCGGTAAACCATTTTAGTTTTTTTTTTTTTTTAATTTATATTTTTAATAATAAATATAAATAATTAATAATGTTGAAAAAATTAAATAATTAAATTTTTCGAAAAGTATAAAAATTTAATTATGCGCAACGAGCGAGTGAGCGGATGAAAAAAGCGACGAAGAGCGATGCTGGGGAAGCGAGAAAGGCAGTGATTCCGATGGCAAATACTTTGGCGTCGGGTCAGGTCGGGTACCTTCTCAATCGCATGAAGCAGGCTCTTGCTGAACCTTCTTGTTTGGTGCATCCATGTGTGCATCCATGAACGGCCTACTATCAATGCAGGTTGAGGCAGCATTGCTGCGTGGTGGGGACAGCACCACGAACACGGAGCTTGAAGTGGGGGGCTCTAGAAATGTCTGTGTGCACTGTTCCAGCAAATCTTTATTTACAGGTTGGCTTTGTCTTAAACATTGCACAACCTTACCAACCACGGTCGCGGGGTGGTACTCTTTTGGTTGAACAACATTTTAGCGAATAGTCGGCCGCCGCCAAGCGGCGTTTACAGGTAGGTTAAGTGGGTTAACATTTTTGTAATAAGCCACCGCAGAGAGGTGGGGGGGGGGGGGTTGATATACTTTCTTCGGAAAGTACCAGAAGAAGTACCTTAAAGGGATGGCGAACCGAAATTTGGGTTTCGGAAAACAATGCAGGAGCTGTAGGCGGGACACTACAATCCCTACAACACTACTCGTAAGGCGATATCTTGAATGGACGGCCGCATTTTTGGAAAAAGAGGTCGAGATTGAACGAGGCCGACGAGGTGTGCGACGTCAACATATCTCGTTTCCTCTTCTCTTCGATTTGCCCTGGCCCTCAAGGCGACGAGGCGGAGAAGACGCGAGGCTGTTCCCTCTCCTTCTCGACTCTTCTTGCAGAAACAAGACATCAACATATCTGTCACATGCGCCTCCTTTTTTTTTAGAAAATACAGTCATCCAATCGAGATATTGCCGTATGAGTGATGTTTTGTTGTTTGTAGCATCCCGTTGCACGCTTTTGCCGCCGTGTTTTGCGGAATCCAGTTTTCTGTTCAGCACCCCTTTAAGTAAAGTACATATCCAGGGAATGTACTTCAAGTACAGTAAAAGTTTGCTAAACTTACTTGAAGTAGTACTTTAAGTACAACATACTTAAAGTACCTCCCAACACTGCATTCCCCCACGTGACACCTTAACTGTGAAGGATATTATGACTTTTGAATTTACAATTTACTCCAAACTGGCGGAAAATCCCTCGCACTTTCACTTAGTTTAAATGATGCACGTTATATATGCTGCCGACACAAAAGGCCATACCCTTGGTTGTGCCAGAAGTTTGACGACATCCATCTCATGCTTGGACATCACGTCATGGTAGATAACAATCCTCGGCTTTGGAAACATGACCTCCTCTTTGGCAGGCTGGAGGAGCAGAAATGGGCTCCCATTTGTTCTGTACTGGCAGGTCAGATCCTTGTCCTTGTAAAGAGGCTGATGGGGGAAAAAGAATATTGCAGGGTTGAAAGCAACACCAAAGGAAGGTAAATAAAAGGCAATTATAAATGATTTTAAAAAGACACTGCAAGGTGCTACCTGCTTCCAGACCATTGCTAAAGGCTAGCTATACCTACCGTAAAATCCCATATGAAAACCCTCCCACGAGAGATGGCCCATCCTGTTTTTCTGGCTGATTATCCATGGGCTAAATATTCAGAAACATAGCTCATCAACGATTCCCGACAGATTACCCACGCGAATTGCGGCATCAGTATGTCTGACAAACGAGCTTGGATCAGGTTACATGTTTATTGCACCATGAAATGCGAGTTTGCGTGTTTATCGCAATGTGAAATGCGAATCTGCTGTCTCCCCCATGACCTGCGGTATTGGTTCCTGTGAAATGTGAGCTCGTAGCCGTAGGTTCCTGCGCATTTTGGTCACTCAAGTTTGCCATGTCCACAATCTCCACGCACGATGTTGGCTACTGTGACATGCGAGTTAGTAGCTGGTTCCCACATGTTTTTAACATTGTGAAACGCGAATCTGCTGCATCTGTTATCTGCCATATCAGTCAGTTCCCATAGAACCGGAGTTCCTAACGAGTTCCGTAAAATGCGAATCTGCCGTGTTCGTGACCCCTAACACGTGGTCAATAGCGGGTGCCGCGGTGTTTATTGGCATTTTTGAAAAATATTTGCTCTCTCATTTCCAAAGATAGCCCATTTGATATTTTTCACCATTTATCTCTCCAAAATGGGTGGGCATTCGTATGGGATTTTGCGGTGCTCAAATAAAAGGAAGACCACTACTTTACAAACCCATACAGAACTAAAATTATGACTGAACGACAAAACAGGAGGGCATTGTTTGTAGTAACCTTATATTGTATGCTGTGTAAACAGATCATTGAATTAAGTCAAAAGTAGGTACCGTAAAATACCGAGCATCCGCCCATTCCACAAAAAAGTCGGAAGACACCTAAGCACTTCTTATGAGTTGTGAATGCGAAAGCATGATTGTCCGACTATGTGGATGCTAGAGGCGGCGTCATGTTCGTCGGCGTCCAGAAGAGCAGAAGCATCGCCGACGATGTGGATGATGGAGGCGACGGCATGTTGGTCGGCGGCGAGACGAGCAGAAGCCTCCCAGTGTGCACCAACGTGTCTGTTTTAACCGGCGTGGGGCTCGTAGTGGCATGGAATTGTGGCGGTTAGTTTTATCGGCGTGCTGGCGGCACGGACACGCAGTGCCATCTGGCAGCGGTCGTTGAAACTGACGTGCACAGCGGTAAATGGGAACCTCGTCGCCGCGCGCCAGCCAATGGGACCTTTGGGATCAGGGAAATTAAGTGCCGTTTTCGTGCCTCAAACTGACGACGTCGGCTCGCTCCATGGGACAGTTAATGCTTTCGCAATAAAAGCGCCCACCCCTCAATTTTGCAACATTTGGAAAATACACAAAAAAACACACTTTTACATAGTGTTGACCTAATGAGTGCCCATCCCCAGTTTTACATGATTATCTCCAAATTTTGAGTGGGCGCTGGCTCGGGATTTTATGGTAGTCTTTTTTTATGCACAACCCCTGTTCGTACAGTTTACTGCCCACGAAAGTCCAATTACTGCGAGATCCAGATGGGGCTGAGTAAATGGTGAGATACCGAAAACAGGGCTCAGATATGGATTCTGCACCGCGATTCAAAGTTTGCAAAAAATCATGCTCCACCACCTATTGCAGGTCACGTTTTAGACTCTACACGTTATCTTTGTCTCGTTGTTTGCATGCTCCTTTGTTATCCTTTCGTACATTGCAATGCTTGGCCTACACCTGTGGGCTGCATTCATAAAAAACACAGCCTATTTTTGAGCAGCTACAGTAAGTTGCACGTTTAAGAAAAGACAGGCACCGGAAACTTCTCGCCGCGGCACAGCCGCTCGTAGATTCCCCGCTCGGAGTCGGCATCAGGGCCGTGATGCTTTTTGCCAACAGCGGCTTCGTCCATGGGCACGTCACCATCATCTCCACGCTTGTGCAGCTCGGTCTTGGAGATGGCATCTTCGTAGTAGCGTTTGTTGCCGGGGGCTCGAGGATGGTCGGGAACTGCAAAGCAAGCCAAAAACAAGCCAAGTTGATTACGACGTGATGCGCGCTAAATAAAGAACCTAGCTCAGCAGTCAAGCTGCACTGGTTAAATATTTTATATATAGCATGGACCAGTGTTGTCATAATATGGCAGACAGACAGACCCTGTGCTATTTAAATATCTGACGTATAATTTACTTTTTTTCTTTTACACCTCGTGAAACCAACGCACAGCTGATCCCAGCAAAGATGGATGATTTCAAATTGTTGGTAGAGCAAGATTGGCACAGTTTATACTAAATGGACAAAATGTATAGTGTTTCATAGTCACTGCCTTTATCATCATCTTATTATGCAAGCAAAGAGAAGAAAAAATTTTTGAAAATGACTTACCGTGTTTGCACAATTTTAACGCACTTCCAATTCTTACGTGCAGGCAGATTTAGCTTCCAGATATTCAAAAAATAAATAGCTGTCAATTCTACCACACAGGTAAAATACTGAAGATTGGACACATACCTCATAGAACTGATTTTATGAAATGCACGCCAGCACAAAAATAAATATTGTACACTATACTCTGTTTCATACTTAGTGTGCAACGCTGTCAAAGCTACAGGCGCAGTGCGTGGCTTCATCTATGGTTTTGTTGTGCGCGAGACCGCGTGCAAATGATCAACGAGATCAAGCCCCACGCTCGCGCCAGAGGCTTTGACAGCGTTGCACGCTAAGTATGAAAAAGAGTATAATCGCCGTTGTCAAAGCCCAACAATGGTTCTTCACTGTCCACAAAGGTAATCCTTGCTTTCGGCATCTGAAGCGCCGCGCTTCTTGCACTTGTATGAGTGCGTGACTGTTGCCTCTGGGAGGGTCGTCTTCCAAACAACACTTTGCAAGCTCGTCAGGTAGCTGGAATTGCGAGGCCACACAGTGCTGCTCCATTGTTATCTTTTCCTGACAGCATGATGTCCTTCCGTCTCAATAAAACCTCCCAGTGGAATTTTTTTTTTTTCCATCTTAAAACAGCAGACACGAATTCATAAACGCGAGAGAATGCGAGTGACACGGATACCATAATGGTGAATGTAAACAAACTGTCACGAGCCACCTAATACAGAGTATTGTGTTTTTCTTCCGAGTTTCGGTTTTTTGTTTCGAGTGTTACGAGCATGTAACTTTGCGCACCGATTTTGGCGAAAAAAGTGTGCATTAGAATCGCGCAAACACAATATTTATATGTGATCACTCTACAGAGTCACTGAGTAACTCAGATTCTGCATTATGGCAGTGTTGGATAAAGTACATTTAAAAAGTACTTTAAGTAAAGTACAAGTAAATGAGTGGTTATGTACTTTAAGTAAAGTAGCAAGTACATTGGGTGCAATGTACTTGGACTAAATATGCTACAAATGCAATGTACTTTCACAGTAAAGTACAATGACCTTCTAATACAATCTTCTATGTTGCCCTTTCATTCCCCTATAGAGTGTTTTTTTAACTGGTATGCATTGGCCCAAGGGGTAATCGGAAGTGCATCAGTTATTTTTGGAATGGTGGCTAATGCTGGATAAAGTCAAGTGGCCACAGGGTAGTTGTTTTACTCTCGCTGACAAACTATTGTACACAATCAACTTATGAGGCACTTATTTGTATCGGGTCTCCTAGCCATCATCAATTCACTCGGAGAAAGGACCAGAGGAGCAATACGTCCTCCTCTCACGTTTCTGGTGAGTAGAAATGTTCCAATATTGCTCCAGAGTTGACGAAGCATAATTTTATGATACAAATTCAAAAGGACCAAATTTGGATAATGCACTTTCCTTAGAAAGTACCAAAAAAAATCCTTTAAGTAAAATACAAATATGTACTCAAAGAATGTACTTCAAGTAAAGTGTCAGTTTTCTAAACCTACTTGAAGTAGCACTTTAAGTACAATGTACTTAAAGGGGTGCTGAACCGAAATTTTGATTTCACAAAATAAGGCCACAGAAGCATTGAACGGGATGCTAGAAACTGCAAAACATCACTCATACACAGATATCTAAAACAGATGGTCATATTTTTGAAAAAGAAGGGCACGATCAAGTGAGGACTATGACGTCACAATCCTCCTGGAACAGTTGAGAATGAGGGGAAGTGGCCTCGCTTCTCTCCTCCTCTCTTTAGTTCACCAGCTTGAGGAGATGAAGCGAAGAGGAGAGGTAATGAGAATCGTGACATGTCTCGTTGGTCTCATCAGCCGTGTTCAATCGCGCACTTCTTTTCTATTTTAAAAATGTGGCCATCTGCTAGAGATATATAGTATGAGTGATGTCTTGGGGTTTTGCAGCGTCCCGCCTATCGCTCCAGATTTCGGTTCAGCACCAACTTCCCAACGCTGCATTGTGGTCAAGCTAGAACAGCTCTAAAAAAAGCAAACATGTTATCTAAAATAAAAACTTTGATAAATAGAAAGTTTTAGTCTTTCACCCAATAAAAATGACTGCTATTTGCCAAATGCACTTCCAGCACCGCACTATAAAAGATTGTTTTTCCATAGAAGTATTGCCTCTAAACACCCCATAACTATGCACGTAAATTTAAAAAGAATCAGTGGGGAAATGTGAGCATAAGAAAACATAACTGACCTGCGGCAAGAAGGTCATTCGTAAGCTTCAGTGCATGCCGAGTGTTGCCTTGCTGTTGGCAGAAAGAGAAAGAACTATGTAAAACACATCAGTGCTGTTGGTACATCGACAGAGGTACCAACCGCCCACTCAAAATGATCTTCACATTGAAACTCTTGGCGGGATCGATTACCTGAAATGTCGAAAACGCCAGATACTCCAGAATCTCCACACGGTCGGCGGTCTTGGTGACTTCCTCATCTACCCTGTCCAGAGCTTCCTGCATCCACAGCACCGTGTGGTAGTGGTCCTCATTGTTGTAAGACTGACGGCCGAGCTCGAAGCAGTCCCCGGCTGGAAACCACAAAGAAAGCCTCGTCTCACGCTCACTCATTCAACCATTCGTTCATTTTGCGGGGAGTTGCCGAATCCACTCGGAGCACCACATGCCACATCTCGTGCTGGGAAAGACAACAAAGCTTTCCGACTGGCCGCACACAGCCATCTCAATGTCAGCGAGGTTGGCTAAGTCACGAGGTTCCACATTCAAACATTAACCATGTGTAAATTGTCGAAAAATAGGGTGGCTGCTCTGAATCCAAGCCACAAACACTTTGGCCTTACTGTCAGCTTTGCTCACTTCGCAAGTATCTTTCAAACGTCTAGAGAAGGCTTACTACGTGGCACTTCAAGGTCGCCCATAATGTGTCTTTCGATGCCACGGCAAAAGAACAACGTACAAAATATTTGAAATATACTTAGATCGGAAGTGTTGCAGAGCCACTTGCTAGGTGGCGCCGCTGTGGTTTCTCGTCGTAAGCAGTGCAATCACACTCAAACGCAAAAGTGTAAACCAGCTTTAGCCTTTCGGGGGTCATGTGACTCGTCGCCTTCTTGACTCATGGGGTCAGAACTATTTGACTCTAATAAACGGTATGATCGATTTGGGGTAGCAAGGTGAACTGACACATTCATTAAAAGCAATAGTTTAATTGCAGAAAAAACTGCGCAACTGCAGGCATATTTTTGGTAGAATCCCAGGACTGTTAGCAATACTTTTTTTTGCCGAGTATGGCATTTTTCCGAGAAAGCGCCGGGGGCAGGCCTGAATGACAAGCGCAGGTTTTCGTAAAATCGTGTTCTCTGCCACGTGGATCGCAAACACCTTCTTCGTAAAATGTATAAAAAGTAGAGGGAGAAAGAGCAGCCATTAAAACAATGCGTGAAATCATGCACTTAATTTTGCTTGCCCAAGAAAAAAGTAAAAAAAAAGCATCCTCACTTACGTTCCCTCACGTTTTTGTTTGTTTTTGAGTAAAGAGAAAGGAAAAAACCAGGAGGGGTGTACCGTTCGTAAAAGCTGAAAAGATAGTGTTCTCGATAACAGACGGCTCAAGTCGAAATTGTCGGGGCGCGCGCAACAACAGTACGAATCGGGGCTGTTGGGCAAGCTGAGATTGCCCAAGAAAAAAAGTAAACAAAAAGCATCCTCACTTACGTTCCCTCACATTTTTGTTTATTTTTGGGTAAAGAGAAAGGGGAAAGCCAGAAGAGGTGTACCGTTCGTAAAAGCTGAAAAGATAGTGATCTCGATAATAGATGGCTCAAGTTGGAATTGTCGGGACGCGTGCAACAACAGTACGAATCGGGGCTGTTGGGCAAGCTGAGACGCCCGACTGCAACGGGACTAATGACGTTCGACACTAAAGGGAAAAGAAGGCCGCGTGCATCCTGAGCAGAGATGAGCAGGGAGAGTGAGTATGAGCTTCCAAGTTTCAGTGCACCGCAACTGTGATCCAGCATGATCGTAGTGTATGAATGTCATAACGGTTAGGCGAGAGAAAACCTGCGTACCGGAGAGTTCGGGTGAGGGCTTCACACCCTGTATCTCTCCCCTCGCCAGACTTGCAGTGTCCAGGCGATAGGTGTCCTGGAGCCGGAGGAGGGCGACTGCTGCTCCAGTCAAGTCTTCCTCGTCGGGAAACCTGAACCTCCCAGCCTGCGTAATGTTCTCCACCATTTCTGGGAACGAAAGAAATGCGTCCTGAAAACTTGGAAGCACTCGTGGCTGCCCATCCAGTTGGCTCAGGTCGCAGATCTTTTGAGAAGGACGGGCACGTTCGCTGGGAGTGTTCACTTACGAAACAAAGGCACTCGTAAGCTCGTATCTGCAGGAAACTAATCTACTAAAGTATGTGGCTCGGCCAATTGGTGCAATTCAGTACAAATGAAATAGTTGGCATAAAGATAAAACAAAATGTGGCACACATAATTCTGTATTGACAATTTCAGATGGCATGTGTGTCATGTAGTAGGTTTTTTTAGTGTATTTTGGCTACTCTGTGTTTAGAAGTTTACATTTTTAAATTTTGGACTGCCAGTTGTCACACACAGGTATGCAAGTGTTTCTGCGAGACAGATTAGGGATGTATAATGTTAAAGAACTATGAAATAAACTTATCATCATTCTTATTATTATTATTATAAAGTAGACAAAGAGCACTCGTTCTTTCTTAATTGGTTGGCATTGTCCTTTTAGTATTACAACGGAATCTTGTTAATCTGAGCCTGAGGGGGACCAAAATATTGTTCAAATAATGTAAAGTTTGAATTACCGAGAGTTTCCCCCTAGGAACACATAGGACAGGACTTGCACGTTACTTTGAATTATCTGCGAGTTGGGATTAAGAGAGTTTGAATTAACAAGATTCCGCTGAATTTTACTTGAACGAAACTCTTGGTTTACCCTGCGGAGAAGAGCACATGCATGTCACGAGACAAACCAATTGTTTTTAGAATTAGGGAAGCTCCATTTTGCTGCATGTTTTTGTGGAATGCGGGATAGGGTCCACAGTGCCCTGCCTTCAAAACATGCCGTCTGGTGGCTGGTATAAGGATGCTTCACTCCACTACCAACTAGCCTTACTGAATTACATAAATAATTGTGCACAAAATAGAATCCACGCACGACCAATCTCTGCATGCATGTATATGACTTCGAACAAAGCAGAAAAAGCATTTTAGATAAAAACAGACCCCAATGAACTCGGCTTAAGTGTATTGAATTTAGTTATTGCTTTCCTGCAAGTGTAGAAAAAAAAAAATGGCCAATGGAATTTACATAGGACACACGAAATGCGGAACATAATTCCTGCTTACGTCTCCCCGCAGCACTTGACATCAGTGCAGATGCCACCTTCCAGTCTGCTGTTAGCATCTTGACCAGCAGGAAGGCATTCACTGGATTGGTCACAAAATCTTCAGCATCCTTGCTGACTGCATTGTGGAGTTTCCTAAACCCTTCCCTAAGTCTTAAGAAAAGAAGAACAAGAAAGAAAAAATCATGCATATGTTTTCACGACAGAGAAGCGCTTCAGTCGACTCGGAACTGTTCTAGATTTTTTTCAAAGCCTTGTCAAGCAACATTGCTGGTCGTCATTTCTTGCAGACAAAGCGCTAACACTAGCTTCTACCACATGCTCCGAGTATGTGTCCAAACAATGGCGGACTCAGATAACTGCCGCAGCAGCCACTAGATGGTGTTACTTTTGAGAAGGGTCTATTGCATGTGACTTAGCCTGACCTATCTTAATGGCCCTAGCGGATAAGGTTAAAGTAATTACCCCCAAAAGGAACAAAAATAAAAAGAAAAGTAACAGATAAAAGTTGAGAGCGGGGAAGGAAGGAAGCAGGATAAATTGGATGCTCTTTCAAAATTGAATTGGACAGGGGCGGAGCAAGTTGAAATACGCCAGATAAACCCGCCCCACTTTAAGCCTGACCGCAGCATCGACGCTATGATTGGACGGAGTCAATTGAGCAGCTTAAAAAGTGCATAATCTTTGTGGGTTGGCTGTTGCCGGCCAAATCAGCCATGCGCAAAAAAAGAATGTGTGCAGGAATCACAGTGAGAAATTGGTGTGTCGCGGTCAGCAAATGCACAAAGACGACGAGCACCGTGACGATGCGCTTTCGGTGCTGCTTGATGGGCTCCGTGAGATCATATTGTTGGCTGCAATCAGATCTAAAGTGAGATCAAAGTGGCGATGCAAGCGAGTTGCTTCGTGGGACAACTGGACACGATGCACAAACAACAAAGACGAGGAAGGTGTAGCATTTGCCCGCCTACAACTTCGTCGTCTTTTTATTTGTGCACCGTTTCCAGTTGTATTAAAGGGAGACGGAGGAGGGTCAGCACGGCGTAGGAATGTTTAACACTCCACTATTCCCAGTCCGCAGCTCCCACTCAATGAACTATGATGGCGCCAAGTTCAATCGTACCTCGCTTCGCTTCGGCCAAGCTTACCTCCTTATTTTCATTAGCCTTTCTTCCTCCGTATCTAGATACCTCTGGAGCGTCTTCACAATGGCTCCCTCTGTGTGGAGCAAATTCTCCAGATCCACGAGTGCTGTGAACACTTCGGCCCGAGCTCCCATCATATTCAACAAGCCACACGTCAACAACAGCAACGATGCAACGAAGTGATGGGGCAACATTCTGGAGTTTTGTCTGCAAAAACAGCCTGTAATACAAAAAAAAAAAAAAAAGAAAAAAAAAGTAGGAATCTTGCAAGAATGTAGCCTGCGCAGAAGTGTCCAATTATTTTTTGTTCACATTCTTTGACCAAGCTGTCGCACTTTTCAAAACGAAACTGCCTACTAATAAAATGCACATAGATGCTTTTTACACTAAATTATCTCTGTTCGAAAAAAAAAAATAATAACTGCTAGTTGCTGAATTAACATGCATGAGACCCCGCAACATACAGAAAACAAACATCCAAACATTAGCAAACAAATGATCAAAACGTCTAAATTCGAATGAGAGACCTAGTAAGACTTCATTCCTAATTCAGAAGAAGATAAGAAGGTATCACTATGGGATCAAGTTTCCTAAAAATAGTCATGGACGACGATCAGATGCTCGCTCGACTCCTAGCCCACAGTACACGTGGGCTTTTCTTATCTTAACCGTTTGCGGCGACACGCTACATCAACGCTCACAAGCGACGTAACAAAAGGAACAAAGCATACCGATCACCAACTCGCTCAACGTCCGAAGGCTGAAATAAAGAGGCGTTCCGTCGGCGACGGCGCCCAGCGTATCGTAACGCGATTTGCAAATTAAAACAAGAATTTCCGGGTCTTCCCCTTCATTGCCGCGCTAGTTGAGAAATAGAAACAGTTCCTAGAAGGCAATCGAGGACGGCGTCCAGGAAAAAAAAATCATCGGTCATCTCCATCTTCGGAGAGTTCACGACGCTGCCATCAATGCGGACGCGCGTCAAGGCCACAAGAGGAGTTTTCTACCGCCAGTATTTCAGATCGCTCGCGTTCTTGCAGCGAAGGAGTGTTTTATCGGAGAACTCACCTTCTATTCGCGGAGTACGCCGCTGGAGCTAAACTGCTGTCTGGGCGTGAATCAGGGTAGAAGAAAACTTGACCAAACTCCAGTCCCTGTCAATCAGCTAACACGTCCACCATTTCCGTCGATTGTTCCGACATGTGCTGCGCTCTAGCGTCAGCGATCTGCGGCCAACGGCGCACGCCCGTCCCTTTCTTGCCTTGCTTTCTTGGGACGTCTGGAAATCTGGAAAGGATCTCTCGCGCTTTCTTTCTCTGTATGAGAGAGAGAGAGAGAGAGAGCGATGGAGCATACAGAAGTTTCAAAGACCCTTTAAAAAGAAGCTTCCGCGTTTTTGCTGTTCCCACCCGCTTCACCCTGAATTGTGCGGCAGGAATATTTTTTAAAGTTCGCTACGTGATCGTAAAAGCGGCGGGCGACGAGGGAGGTTTTGGGCCCTTTTCAAGCGGACGCGACCTCCACAGTGCTTGATAAACTATTACGAAAAAGGTTTTTCGGTTACATTTCAAAAAAAAAAAAAAAAAAAAAAAAAAACGTAAAAAAAGAAGGCGGCATCTTACGAAACGTAGAATAGCCGTAAGTTGGCCGGCATCACTACTGCTGGAAGGACGACGGGTGGGACGTTGTGATAGCATTTCAGTTGCTTGCCAAAAACGTTCCACATCGCGTAAAAATAAGGAACTAAAAAAAAAAAAAAAAAAAGAAAAGTCATGGCAAGATTTGTGAATGAAAAATGGAGGTACTTCGTACTGCAGTGCAGAAATCGTTCATAGTTTTTAGAGAATAAATATGGCTTTTGAGTAACATATTAATGTCGTTAGTTGTATTTTATCACTGCTACCCCCGGATGTTAAATAAGGGAGTAGTTGGTACATACGCAAAGAAACTTTCGATATTTAGTTCAACGTGAGCGCGTTGGTGGAGTTAAATAAAACTGAAAGCCGAAAGACGTGCTGTTCCGTCCGTCCCCATGTTTATCCTTTCAGTTTTATTTAAACTTTCGATAGCGGCGGTAAAATAAAATAAAGAAATACATTTATTCGAAATCCCCGAGTGTGGCTGTGGCTTCAACTGCTCCTGCTTCTTTTCTCTATTTCTTTCTTTATTTATTTGTATCAAGTGGTCACGTGCATCCGAATGAAAGAGCTAACATAAAATCAGATCGATACAAGTCCGTGATTTCAAAACTCCCAGTAGAATACACGCATGTATGGAATTTTCCTGCAATGCTCCACAGTGTTGATGTCCCCCCCCCCCCCCCCCCCCCCCCCCCCCGCCGGGCTTCAAAGATTTTGTTTTTTTCCCGGCTCACAGTTTTGGTTTCCCTTGCTTGCCTTGCCACGTACAATGAGTACTACTGAAAACAACCATTAAGCTGCTTACTAGCAGGAAGTGTGAATTTAGTAAACAAAGGGCTACCAGGTCCGAATTTAGTAAAGTGAATTTAGTAAAGCGAGTTTCCGGCGCCACCTGAGGGGAGCTTCGTGGACTAGCACCCGTGCCTTACGGATAAGCCGACTTTCCTGAACAAAACAACGTGGAAGCCGGGGTTTGTTTGACCGCTGATCTAGTTGCGCGTTTGCGAACCCTACGATGAACTGCGGTTAAAACCAAGGGCTACCAGGTCCGATCTCGAGTGAGTTATAAACCACGCGGTATAAGCGCGGAATAACAGCGCACGCGGGGGGAGGGCATACGCGCGTCTGGCCGCGCTGACCTTGACCCTGAGGCCTTGGTGAAATATCCGGAAACGATTAGGAAAGTCCAGATGCTCGCTCAACGTTGGGCGACGACGCCAAGCATATGGACAAACTTCACCCGCAGAGCTCTTTCCACTTTACCGGAGCGAACGCTGGAGAGGGGGTGACTGGACTCGTCTGATTCGTCTCCACTCTCGCCTCGCCTCCGGCGTTCGCTCTGCTAAAGTGGAAATACTGGAGAGATTCTTTGGATGAGCTTGTCCTGCCTTTCTAGAGCGCAGCTCTGAGCGGCGTCGCAGTCGGTGTAACCGCGCGCGTTGCATTAGGGGACTTCAAAGTTTCCCTGCTAAATTTAGCGGGGAAAATGGCGTCACATGGCTGTGTCACGTCACCTATAAAGAAATTCAGTTTCCCCGCTAGATTTAGCGGGAAAATTGACGTCACGTGACCTCAACATCAATTCAGTTTCCCCGCTAAATTTACCGGGGAAGATGATGTCACATGACTTCATGTCACGTAACCTATGCGCAACGTCAGTTTTCCCGCTAAATTCAGCGGGAAAACTGACGTCACATGAGCTCGACACCAATTCAATTTGCCGCTAAATTTAGCGGGGAAATTTTGAATTGGTGTTGAGGTCACTGAGGAGGAGGAGGGGAGTGTACGGAAGAGGAGAAGGGTACGAAAGAGGGAGAGGGCACGGAAGAGGAGAGTGATCTCTCTCTCTCTCTATATATATATATATATATTTCTTTCTCAAATTGTTTGGTACGGTATACTGAAAAATCAAAATACCTCAAGAGCTGCGCTCTAATTTCGCGTTACAGAGATTTGTAAACATCTTTGATTTTTTTTTTAACCAGTGTTTTAGTAGTGTTGCAGGGACTTAGGCCACTGCACCAGTGTGTCGACGAAAGGGCTGCTCTATGTCATCTGCGATCTCAAGTCTTTTGTAGGCAACGAAAAATCTGAAAGATTGAAGGACAGCAGGGATATGTGAACAGTGGAAATATAACTCGAATCAAATTTCAATCGAATAGAGCCAAATATAATGCCCCAAAAGTCGAATGCCGAATCCTATACGAATACTTGAATTTATTCGCAATGTTCACAAAACTAATAATAAACCGCTTTTTTTTTTTTTTTTTTTGCGGTGTTTTGTTGACGACATAGCCGAAATCCGATAGCATTGCTTGTCTTCTACGGAGGTTATATTCCGCTGATTGAATTGCGATGACCCGTATTCGCCTCGAGATCGAACCGTGTCACCACCGTGCGGCCGAAATCGGAAACGTGCGAAAGCGGGCATGGCCTCCGATATCCGGAAGCGCGCGAACCAATGGAAATCAGTGGCGCGAATGCAACGAATGCTTCTCCGGCTGTCCGATTCGTGCGGAGAGGGCGTAATCGGAAAAAGAGGAGGAGGCGCTGTCTCTCCTCGGGGTGGCGCTCTCAACCCAGTCATCAACAGCGTGGCGCAAGGAAGAGTCCAAGAAAACGTCTTGTTACGTCGAGTTACTGCAACTTCTACTTACAGATTTGTGTGTATTGTGGTAGAACGGTGAACAGCTGCTCTGAGGAAGCAGATAGACAAGTTGCGATGCTTATTTAATTTGAGGTACTCATCTGGACATGTGGCGGCCAGCGCTAAAGCGCGCCTTTTAATATATTTCACTGCAATCTGCAGCGCGTAGAAAACTTAAAAAAAAGAAAAAAAATATTAGCTCAGCACATAAAAGTTTGGATTTCCCTAATTAAAAATAATCATGCTACATTTTTTTTTTTTTTAGATCTTTGCACGTTGTTTGACGCAGCTTTTTGAGCCTGAGCACGAGTTTTTTTTACTATATAGTGCAGTCCGTGTTGTCCTTTTAATATTTTTAATATATATTACGCAATTTTCGCGCGTCATATTGTGCTGTTTGCTTCTACTAGAAGTAGCCTTAATACGGAAACTAAAATTGAAATATTCAAATTTCGTTCAGAAATGAGTCAAACATGGCGGATAATAACCGTAAATGATAATCGCACGTTTGTATTTTGAACGATTGGTTATATTTTTCGTTCCAAACGGTGCACTCGAGCAAGCGCTCGAAAAGAACCGAACGAAGAGCGCTATGCGTCATGGAATATCCGGCGCAAACAACAAAAAAAAAAAAAAAAAAAAGAAAAAAGAAAGATACCTTTATTTGTGACGTAGCAAGGCTGGCGTGGTTATGAGCTTTGCCGTTGCTGGCGCTGTCAGCGTTGTGGTGGTGTCAATAACAAGCTTTAGTAGACCGTGTCTCCCCCTCCGCTATGCCCCTCCGCTACCCGGAACTCTGCAGCCAAGGCCATCGTCGCGCAGACGCAGTGGCGGTTTCTTCGTAGCGGAGGGTTAGCGGAGGGGGAAACACGGTCTGCTAAAACTCCCTAATAACGCGTTATAACCGCGCCGTTCGAAGTACCCGTGGGGTGACGAGCGTGTGGCTGGCCCAAGGAGCACGTAGCTTCCACAACACTGTCAGCTTAGGGCTGAACGGGGTGGGGAAAGCAACTTTTGTTGGAGTTTTGAGCGACAGGCTAATCTTCTAGGGGGAGAATGGATGTGTCCGGGTACACAAGCGAGGGACCGAGAAAGACGGGAGTCCCTCCTGTCCGTCTTGTTGGACTGTTTGGTACAATGCGCGATTTGTAAGAGGAGGAAGAAAGCTAAGAAGGAAAATGATGAAATTTCAAAGAGCGGCGCTGCTGCGATGGAACTTGCTGTGGTGTTGGAGTATTTAGGGATTGCTTGGATTGAGGACTGCAGCGTGGTAATTTACGTACGTTTAATCCACCATTTTCTGATACACCCGTGTTGCCAACCCGTATAGTCGATTTCGCTAAATCAAGGACACTACACTTGCTACGCCATGAACGTAACAACTTCCCCAACGTTGCTAGATTACCTCCCCAATAGGCTCCACATGCATCCACCAGGTGAACATTGGAAGATCGTTTAATTAGCTTTAAAATTAATTTGCTTTTGCCTTTCAACGAAATACTGGTATTTTTGAGGTTACGCTGCAACATGCAACACATTAAAGCTAGAAAATGAGCGCTGGAATTTCGTTTCCGCACCCCTTTTTAAAACGGGGTCAAGACAGCCTGCAGGTATCAGTCACCACGATATCCATGGTTCAAATACCGCGTGTCAAGTGTCTCCTTGAACTCGTTGCCGTACGGCATTCGAAGCTCAGATCTCGTGGTGACTCGCGTTTGAATCTGTTTGCAGTTTGCAGACTGTCTTTTGTATGATGTATAAGCAGTGTGACCCCGGCTTTGGGGAAAAATTATGGCAGTGAGATACGACCACCTCGCAATAATTTCGCCATTTAAAAATTTTTTTTTACAGACTTTGTGATAATTGTAGGTACCGATTCAAAAGGTGGGGCATCACCTTGTAAACGTCTAGTTTTTGGCATATGTAGCAGAGATCACCGTATCCCGTTATGCACCTTGTGGCCGGGCCCCGGCCGCGGCCCGCGGCCCGCGGTCCGGTCCATGCACGTGCAGAACTCTACCTGCGACGCTGACGACTCGCCCCCATACCTTGGCAAACCTCACTCATGAGGGCCCTCACTCACCCTCATTTTCACAAATGAGGTGAGGGTGAGTGATTTTCTGAACCAGGAAAGTTCATGACTGTGAGGGTGAGTGAGGGCCGTAAGGGCTGTGAGGGCCGTGAGGGCGATGAGTGCGTGAGGGGCGTGAGGTGTGTGAGGGCCATGAGTACGCGAGGCGCGTGAGGGCTGTGAGTG